CTGTGTCAACTCTTTAGCTAGCTAGACCTCCGCCTGTGTCAACTCTTTAGCTAGCTAGACCTCCGCCTGTGTCAACTCTTTAGCTAGCTAGACCTCCGCCTGTGTCAACTCTTTAGCTAGCTAGACCTCCATCTGTGTCAACTCTTTAGCTAGCTAGACCTCCGCCTGTGTCAACTCTTTAGCTAGCTAGACCTCCATCTGTGTCAACTCTTTAGCTAGCTAGACCTACATCTGTGTCAACTCTTAAGCTAGCTAGACCTCCGCCTGTGTCAACTCTTTAGCTAGCTAGACCTCCATCTGTGTCAACTCTTTAGCTAGCTAGAACTCCAACTTTATCTGCGTGCAAGATCACGCAGATTTGTTGCTTGGTATTGACGTGAAGTTTCTGGATGCTTAAGATCAAATTTTAAAAGAAAATTTAATGAATTGTAAAACAGACATTGCCTATTTAACATATTTTTTTACTCAATTTAATATAGTTAACGCAGTTACAATCCAACAGTCTAAATTTGATTAAAACAAAGGCCAGAAATTCAATGTTTCTTGCCAGAATTAAGCTAATGAAGCAAAACATCGGGCGGTGCGAATTTTCCCAGTTCCCCAATTTATCACCGACAAACTGCCCGGAAGACGACATTTCAACCTACGTTCAACATTGATATGCCCTATATTCACATTTTGAAACAAGGTTTGATGATTTTTTTGACTGTGGTAATACCACAGTGGATAATCAATCCATATGCTGACATTGAAGAAACCGATGTCATATTACAAGAGGGAGTGATCGAATTAAGCACCAACGAAGAACTTAAGGTACAGTGTAGAACCGGATATCAGGAATTCTGGCTTCAAAAAGACAGACCTGTTACTTGTCCTGTCTTATGTAATATCGCGAGAAAATGTTTAATTGCCTTTCCATTTTCATACCTACTGGAAAGGGGTTTCAGCGCACTAATCTAAAAAACAAAATAAAAAAACTGGACATAATTAACCGAGGAGATTTGAGATTAAATTTAAACCTGACTAAATTGATTCTAAATGTTGAAAATTTATTATTAAAACATCAGGTTCATCCCTCACACTAAAAGCATTTATTTTTTGCTTAGTTATTTTATTTAACAGAAAGTAAATTTTAATTTGGCTCGTTTTAATTTGAATTTAATTAATAAATGTATAAAACTTAAGATGTTTTTATTTAAGTTTTTCACACTTAACTTCACTATCGCTATAAATTTAAATCTTTCAAAGGGAGTAGCACTAAACCAGCTGTCAAAAATAGATTTGAAGTTAATGAATTTGCAAAAAATCAATATCATTTAAGCAGGGGATCTACCCAATGCCAAAAAACATGGCAAGTTGACTACGAGATAAAAGAGTTTGGGAACCTCTGAATTAGCGGAATATAACTTTCTTTACAAAGCCAGATTTTTAAAAAATGTGATAGAAAATAAACATGTCTAATTTTTTCAATCACTTTTTCTATTCGCAAAATAAAATAATTTTTCCCGCATCTGACATAAGGCGTCATAGGGCTGCTAAATTCAGGGTCATACATTTCTTTTTTTTTTAATATATAAAGAATGAACATGATGTTTGTTAAAAAAGTAAACCTATTACTAAAATGTATTATTTTTGGCCCCAAAGGACAGTATGTGATAAAATAAAAGCAGTCAGTGACCCAAATAAATTACATGTATTTAATGAATTGTTTACATACATATTTTAAAATGTTTCCAATGCCTCTGTGGCAATAAGTTGTACTTTTACTTTTTATTGACCTTTCATGCCGTTTAGGACAATTTGAATTGATTCGTGCAGGAAATATAATTTATTTGCAGCGGCCGGAAAGTAACACATGTACTTTACATTGTTTGAACAACATATCTTTTGTCAATCATGTTTGTAAACATGTATCCAGAACCAGCGGTCTTCAACACAGTCTTTACGGAAAATTCTTGGTGTGGATAAACACAGGAAAATAAATGTCTTACGGAGTGCGCTCTTTTGAAGCGATAAGGCCTAAATTCTGTAAAAGTTTGCCTCAATCTTTAAGGCGATTAGAAAATGATGAAAAATCATTTAAGAAACATTTAAAGACTTTTTTGTTTAAATTAAATAGATTTAAGAACACCAGAGCGCATTGATCATGCTAAAGTAGCATGGATACCAGCGCTATATAAATATCCAATCCATCAATCAATATCAGCTCCTAGAACATTTCGAAAGAAAAATGTACCTCAGGGCCAGGGTGTCCCAATCATATCTATTCTCTGCACCCACCAAGTCTCACACATCGTAAAAAAATAATAATCCATTTTTATTGTTAAAATTTGAAGGCCAGGATATTTTATCTAGCCAAAATTAATTTCGTATCCCCAGCTTTAAGGTACAACATTGTGACGACTATTAATCCTATAGGCTTTGATTATAGAATTCTTGTTTGAACATTTCTCAGGCTAGTGTTCCTGTGGTGCATGTAGAATGTAGACCTACAACTGAGCCCTCAGCCAATCAAATCCAATCAAGTTTCTTACTTCTTCTTAATTTACTATTCAATTTAAAAAATATTAGAAATTAAAGTAATTTTTAAAATAATAAAACTTAATTTATTTAAAAGAATAATATTGATTTCATATTATCTCTGCTACGAATTAAAACTAACAACCACTTAATTTCTTTGGTGACAGTTAAAAATTGGAAGTAAATATATATATATAAATTTTGTATGCTTTATAATTATAACAAAAAATTGCTCGTGGGGGCGAGCGAAGTGATAGAGAAGTTGCATACATTTATATGTTCTTATAAATAGAAATATTTGGATTATGTAAGAAATTATTTACCTTTAATTCAACACTGGTAAATAGGATGTCAAGCTGTGTAAAAAAACAACAACAAAAAACTAACAAAAAACGTTAAAAATATTTTGTAATGTGGCTGATCCATTATGAGGATTGTTGGTTAGATTATTTTAGGCTTTAATTACCGGTATTTATTGTTGCCGTTTTAACTCTTTACTCTCCTCGGATCACCCACTGATTTGTGTTTTACATTTGAATACAAGAGATCAATTTCGCTTCAAAGTCACAGGGCCATGCAACAAAAGAGAGTAGGTGGAGGCGAAGGGAGGACCTGCTCTGGGTACAATCATCATAGTAGTTTGGTGGATGGGGGGGGGGAATGTGCGATTTTCTTATCGATTAAAAAAATATATTTGTAATATGTAGGCTACAATGGTGTGCCCATGGGCGCCCGCAGAAAACTTTCTAAGGGGGGGGGGCAAAAAAAATCGATTAACTTTCCGGGGGGGGGGGTGGCAAAAATTTTTAAGTAATGTTTTAATTTAGTTTTATTTTAATAGGAGCTAGGTAGAAAAATTATATTGGAGTTTGTTGGTGTGAGGGTAGCAAAAATTTTTTAGTAATGTTTTAATATAGTTTTAATTTACTGTAGAGTATTTGTATGGTGAATGAACGGACAGGACATCAGCTTAGTTACTTTCTCTTTATTTTCTCTTTACTTTAATAAATTTTTTGTCTATTTTTGTCTAAAAAAATTGTATCCAATCAATCCAGGGGGGGGGGGCAAGTCCCCCCCTTGCCCCTACCTGCGGGCGCCCATGGTTGTGCCTGTAGATGTTTGGTACATCTATTATATTCAAATTTAAATACATTCACAACACAGCAAATTTTGCACTATATCTTTTTAGCTTTCAATAAATTTTGACAATTTATAGATGTTACCAAGGTTAGTTAATATCAGTGACGTGACTTGGGTTGGTGTCACCCAATGCGGTTAATACTCCTTGTGTCACCCCCCCCCCCTTTTTTTTTCCCGAACCCCCCTCCTCCATCGGACATGCATTGGGTAATTCTAAACTGGATCATACAGAACCGCTCATTCAACAAGTTATTGTTTGTCCAAATCCTAGAGCAAAAAACATTGAAAGATGTGTGAAGCATTAAACTTGACAGCTATAACTTTACTTTCCTGGTCTTCAAAGATGCAAACCTGTCTATCACTTCGTCAAACTCAACATTTATCACCTTATCACTTTCAGTTGACAAAATCGCAAGACCAATAAGCCTTGACAGTTTTGTGTTAGGGTGCAAATAATTCTTTGTAGTTTCCGTTTAGAAAAGCTCATTTCAGATGTAACCAAATACATACAGATCGTGATAAACAAGTGTAGCCAAAATGAGAAGATTGGGAGAGATTCCCAATCTTCCTCTGGTGGCATCCTGTTCTGGTGGCACCTTGCTCTTGCTACAATTTATGCTCACTTGGCACCCTGCTCTGTCTAGTGACACAATGTTCTGATGACACCTGCTCTGGTGGCACCCAGTGCAAGTCGCACACTTTTATTGAAATTAACTGAATTCTGTTGTGAAACAAACTCGATCGAACTTGGTTAAATTATCTTTTTCCATTCGGAGTCACCTTTACACCCCCACCCCCCGTGAGTGTGTCACCCGGTGTGGTCCACATCATCGCACACCAGCACACTCTAGTGACGCAAATTATTCATCTTTCAAAAATATTTAATAATCAATTTATAATAAAAAATAATATGTGATATTTCACATGTTTATTGCAGTTTGTCAGCCGTGCCTTGAAGACCAATTCCAATGTGTAAACTGTCGATGCATTTTAAAAACAGCAAGATGCGATCATAATAATGACTGTGGTGATCAGAGTGATGAGACCGCTGATTGCAGTAAGATTTCGAAATTTATTAAGTTTTCTCTTTTTTTTTTTTTATGAAAATGTAATAATAGCCTAGATTTAATTTTTACAACCAGACTATTTGGCACATAATTTTTTTATAGTTTACTGCGGCAGACTGTTTTCCAAGTCTAAATAAATTTTAGCATTTTACTTTCCTAAAGGGTGGGTCATTTGAATTTAAGTGTTTAAAAAAAATTGGATTTAATGTAATAATGTAAAATGTATGTCCAAAACCAAAAAATGTAGGTATTGTTTAAAACACTTTGAATTTAAGATGTGGTGATACAGAGTCTCATACATATCACGTTTTTCCGGAATAGGCCATCCAAAGACTTCACTTTTAAACTCTACCCCCCTCCCCACACCCCCACCCCCAAGTCGTCACAAATTGTCTACAATTTATTTTAATTTAAACACCATCTTAAACTTTGGCTTATATGGTGAGAAATTTGTGACCCCCACCCCCTATACACAGAAATTCATTTATGAACGGCCCCTTTGCCTATAGGCCTACACCTTATCCAAACATATGAAGAACTGAATTAAAAATATTGGTAGTATAATAAATACTATGACAAATTTTGAAAAATAATTAAGACTAAAGTTGTGAGAATTAACAGTTAACTATTATCTTTCTAGCATACCCAACATGTGCTGGTCATGAATACACTTGTAATAATCATGTGTGTATATCACAAGAATGGGTCTGTGATGGCTCTGATGACTGTTCAGATGGGACTGATGAACTAAATTGCAGTAGGTTATGCTTGCAACATTAAAAAAATAAGTATATTATTAATAATTTATCTTGGTGCTCAGAGTTTTAGAAACATAAACATAAAGATTAAAAATAACTGCCACATAGTTGAAGCAAAGCATTCTGCATAATTTTTTTACGTAAGTGTTTAACAAAATTATGCTGATAATGGATATTTTGTACATTTAAAAAAATTGATTATCACCTTAATTTTGTTTAAACTTTTATACTTTTTCAGTCATTTTTGGAGTTGCATAAAATGTTGATATTTTTTAATCCTTTTCTATGTGCTGTAAGCACTGACATGAATTCTATAAATGGCACTCATTACAATAGTACTAAAAATTTAAGCTACCTGGAGGCACAGGAACTTGAGCCACACTAGTATATACTGATGGTTGTATCACCGAAAATTAGTTGTATTGGCATATAAGATAATTATATGGATTATTTATGTAATTCATTATGTAATATTATATGCAATTCAGGTCCATATTTAACTTGTGATTATCATTTAAAATGGGATTATGTTTTGCCATACAGAGAATTATGCTTGCCACCCTCAAGAATGGCCATGTCCACATAGTGGAAGGTGCATACCTCTGCAGCAGGTATGCGATGGAACAAAGCAGTGTTCATCAGGCGGAGATGAAGGAGAAAACTGTGGTATGTGTGTTAAATATATTTATTTTCTATAAGTGCTATGCCTAAGCAATAACTGAAATTTATAATAGGCACACACTCTTCCTGAGTTTACTGACCATAGAGCCATTATAAACCCTTAAAACATTCTGTTTATTAACTCCTGAACACAATAATTGGGAGACACAAAATGTCAAAATTTTTAAAAATATAAATGAAGTTACAAATAAATGTTTCAAAAAATTGTGAAAGGACAAGAGTGGCACAAAAACATCCCCTAGCCCTCTACTGAAGCATATGAGCTGCTAGAGAATTTTTATTTAAATGTTGAATTTAAAATAAAACTTTGGTGATTTAAGAGAGAGCGGCCCGAGTCTATTTCCATGGCTGCCAATCTTGGTTGCCTCGACCCGTGAACACGTAAAAGCGCTCAATCTGAATCAGTTAAAACTTTTATTTAACTAAATTGTATTTTTTCAATCTATTATTTTACCTTTGATATTAGATTACACAGAGAGTATATACTAAATGAAGGCCATTCTTATGTTGATAATTTTAAAGTAAATGTCACACATTTGAATTCTGGGATATTTAAAATTAAATTAAAAATACCTACCCGGTACTAAAATGTCAAATCTGTTGCTCTGTGCTCAATTTGACTTGTTGGCTTAAGTGAGTGAGTGATTTCTTCAATGCTTTACTGCATTACATTAGAGTGAAAAAGCTTATTTATGTTTGTTCCATTCTGTTACGTACCATTATGGCTATAAAGATTAAATGTGTGTAAATAGTTGGCCCGTAACAGAAACAATACGTAACAAAAGACTGATCTAACATCATGGAAAGAAACACAATACCAAAGCAAGTGATACTAAAATTTAATTTAATTATATAAATAAATTTCTATACAAAGAAAAATTCGAGTACAGAGGCAGACAGTGTATTAACTTGCAGTAAGTGGAAAAAAATGTACAATTCTCAAAATAGATATATTAATTTATACACACAATAATCAAATTTCTCGAATGTCTATCTGTAAGTCTTGCTAAGGCTGTCTCTGTAATTCTAAACCTCAGAAAGTCTATCTGCTAAGAAACCTAGCTGGCTTTATATAGGAATTAAATCCCGAATGTTCTAGTATTGAAAATCTAGAAATTGCAATTGGCTTTCTTGAGAACCAATAGAAGGCATTCAAACGTAAACAAACTCTTTCCCCAGCCAGGACAGGGGCGGGGAGGGAAAACTAACAACATGTTCACTCAGTGATGTTAATATCAAGGTCCAGGCAGGTCTAAGTGGTGTTGGCTAAAAGTAACTCTGTGTAGTTCAAAAATATTGTGCTGTACTAGGCCATACACAACACATTGTCATAAATAAATGCAGCTCTCAAATGAAATTTACCATTTCAGCAAATGCTTGCGCTGATAAGTCATGTGACCATGCCTGTCAACCAACTCCTACCGGGGGATGGTGTTACTGTTCACCGGGCTATCAGATTAACAAGGAGGACAACAGGACTTGTATAGGTAACACATCTGTAGGAAATTGTTCAATGTATTTCTTACCCTGTGCCAGGGTACAATAATTTTTTTTTCTTTAAAAAGCTTTTTTTTCTTATGAAACATGCTATCACACAGAGAATTAAGCAATGTTAACTGTTTACTCTACTTTAAAAATTTCATTAAATTGAAGAAAAATAATAATTTTTTGAAATAATATGGAACAAACAAATTGATTGACATCCAGAAATATATCACATCAGGAAATAATAAATGGAACAATTTTATAAAATCTCCCAGGGTATTTTTGAAAATTTCTTCATAATTCCTTTTCAGACTTTAATGAGTGCTCAACAAGCGGATTCTGTGATCAACTCTGCGCTAACACCCTTGGCTCATATGCCTGCTCATGTCACGAGGGCTACACGCCTGATCAGAATAATATTTGCAGAGCACAGGACAGTAAGTGGAAATGTTTGTTTTTTTCTTAAAATCTCTTAAAGAGTTTTTTTAAGAGTTTGTTGGTTTTTTAAAATTGTTTTTTTGTGGCAAGTGGAGTTGGAGGTCAGGGGCCAAGACTATAATTTCTCTTGAGCTAATGTACAGGTATTTTGAAATGAAAGAAAAATTAATTGTTTAGTCAGAAGTTTTTAACATCTATGAATTTTAAAAATTTACATATAAGTAATTTAATCAGCTACACATTTTACTTTTTGAACCTTTAAATTAAAAAAAATAATTTCATTGACCATTCTTAATATTTTAAATAGATCATAATTGAAGGGCTGCTTTCAAGCTTTGTGAATGAATATTAGAACAAGGTCTGTTGAAGCTTGAATCAAAAGAAAGGACAATAATAAAGTTCGTATTTCTATTTGTCCTATTCACTGAAGAAGGCTCTAAGCCGAAACATTCATATCTTATTTTTTGGCCCGTCTTTTGATTCAAATTTCAACATACCTGTCTTGTTTTACTATTTCATTTGTATTTTAAGCCTAATTATTAGCAACATGTAGAAAATTTCGGCCTACAAAAAAATCAGAAAGCTGAAAGTATTTTTACGTTGAGCTGCTCTTGACTAATCACCTAATTGTTGAATGGAATGTTCATAGTTATGATTTTATTTTCAAAACGAAGGTGATAGTGTACGCATCCTGATGACAAGCACAACAAAGATCCTGACCATGAACAGGGATGGGGGTGATGTAAAGGAAGTGGCTCAGGTGGATGCAGTGGATGTGGAGATGGATTCAAACGGGGACATGATTTACTATATCAACAACACGGACAACCAGGTATGCAAGATTTTGGATGGAATAGATAAATCCAGGAACAAGCGCAGGCTTTGAAGTTTATTATAAGATAAGGGCGATACTACTTTCCTCCTCCAGTATACCCATCCCCTCCACTAAAAGAATTAATGCATTTAAAAACTAATGCAGCAGATATTAGTTTAATTCCCCACCCTCCTTTTTTTAGGGGGGGTGGGGGGATGATGTGGGGTTGGAGGGACTTTCAACTTGCTGGGGGGGAGGCTCTTATTAAGGTTAAGTAAGACCTTGAGAATTCCATTTGCTAGATTAACTTGTATGTCTCCGACAATCAATTAATTAATTATTGAACTCTTTTGATTGCTATAGTTATTTTGTTTACATTTTAAAAAAATCTTTTGACAGTCTTAAGTTGAAACAATTATGTGTACATGCAACTTTGAATGTTTTAAATTTTATGAAATTAAATCAAAACAAAAAGAAGAAATACTAAACTATACTCAGTTTTTACTTTCTTGGTTCCATTTATTTTGTCACAACTTGTCTTTAAAATTTTATCAATGAATTGATTTGATCAAAGTTTTTCTGTTTTTTAACATTCCTGTTCAGATCTATACTATTCCAGCCAATGGCTACACAATTCCATTGCGCCTTCCTGTACAAGGTCTGGCCATTCCTGTTGACATAGCTTTGGACTGGTTGACCAACAGCTTGTACATTGTTGATCGTGACACTGCGCGGATCGAACTGTTCAACATACCCACAGGGTACCAGCACAACATTGTCTCCGACAACTTACAGACCCCAGTTGCTGTTGCTGTTGACCCAAATATAGGGTGAGATTTTGTTGAAAGGGAATTTTGCATACAAATTTTTTTTTTAAATGAGATTGTGAAGTGCCTTAAGGATATCATTTATTGTGCCATCTTTACCATTTAAACATTCTTTTTTTTTTATCTGTTGATTTTGTGGATAACTGACAGTGTACAAGATAGGTTTTGATTCTCTGATTAGGCCCAGTGCAAGAATCTATGTATATAATTTACCAGCAAAAGTCAAACAACAACACGGGTCAAACACCACGCAGGCTATATATAGATACGCCAGAGTTTGGCTCAATAATGAGTTCACTAGCGCGCAAAATATAATTCCTGATAACTACGCTAAATGATACATATATATTTTTAATAACGCAATTGAGTTTGGTGCGTAATATTTTTTTTTCGGAAATGAAATCGTCTCAATTTAAGTATTGTGTAAAAAATATTGGATTTAAAAGTGGTTGGGGACATGAGAATATTAATATAGTTCATGGGAGTGAAATAAAAAGTGTGCAGTGACGTATCATGAAAGGGGTGGTGGGGGAGGGGTGTAGCAAAATTGGCATTCTTAAATGTGCGTAACTGAGTTCACGTTTTTGTCAAGTAACTTTAGTAGATGGGAAGTTCAGGCATTGCTACCGCCAATGTTTTGCGGGCTGTAACTAGTGATATAATATCAATATAAAAAAAAAGGTAATCATTTATGCAACCAAATTACTGAGATCTGCTCAGTAGTTTAATGGAATCAAAGAAGATATAAAGAAAATATTTGGCCCTCGTGGCCGTGATGAGGGACATGAACAAGATATGAAATGGCTCAATGAAGGGTGACGGGAAGCTTTTGGCCAAAGGCCACTGCTCTTACCAAATAGCCAACACTGTTTAATTATATATTTTCATATCTTAATAATTTTTTTTATTACACCACAGCACTGTAATGTGCGATAAACCTGCATCTTCATACACACAATAGCTAATTATATAACACAGTAAATTGGTGCAGTGTATTTGTATTGCGGTGGAATCATTAAATATAGGAAAAGGTACAGCCTCTGATTAGAATTTCAAATATTCTTTCTTTCCGATGTGGGTTTGGTTGTACCTCTGTTTGTACAGTTTGTCTCAAACAAACATTAATAAGAAGTATAAGTCACTTACCTCAGGGATCACATTTGGTATTGATAAAATTTATGTAAACATTTAATGGCATCGTCCATCGCAATGTGTAGACTTTGTTGGACGAAATCACAAGGCTTGGGATTTTTTTAAGGAGTATAACCTGGTTCCCTAGACATCCAAGTCTCCATGCACCTGGATAACCCAAGGGAATACCATAAATGGATGATACAGCTTGGCACCAGTGCTGTTGCATGAGTTGTAGAAATTTTTAATTGGGACTCATCTACAGGTTTTAATTCAAAGTTTTTTTGCCTTAGATGAGCTTCCATCCCAAGAATAACAGGTCCCATCCACCCGGGATGCTGGTGATGTTTATGCTTGACTTGGGATTGACTCAGTTTAGACCATACGGCCATCCAGCACCCATGCAAAAATTTAAGAAAGTTGAATATATGTAGGATTTATGAAAATGCATAGGAAAGTTGACGAAATGTAGAATTTTATTTTCAGATATCTGTTTTTTGCTGATCGGGGCTTGAAAGGTCCCATGATGAAACCAAGAATTGAGAGGTTGTTCATGGACGGCAGTCACAGATGGGACCTTGGACTCAATAAAATCCTTCACCCGCAAGGACTTGCATTGGACCTCGTCAACAGACGTGTGTACTGGGTCGACTCTCACCTTGACCACCTGGAGAGCGTGGATTACAATGGTCAAAACAGGTAAAGTCGGGTTCTGCATAGCACTTTTTTTAAACATATGAACTTTTAATCTATTCCTCATTTATTAATTTAACTCCTCAAGCCCTGTGGACTGAGGGGTATCCAGTGATACAACAGGTATCCAAGTGATGGAGAAAAAACCCTCAGTGAATTGCCCTGTGATGCTGCCAAATATCCAGAGATAGTGCCTAGTATCCAAGTGTTGGAGAAACCTTGGTGAATAGCTTCCATTTTCTTGTGAGCAGCTTATGTCAAGATAAAGCAAACTTGGAATTGCAGAAACCATTTTTGTATTGTGTTTTCAATTTCCTTTGATCTGGATTTCATTCAATGTATTGACAACGTCTAGTTCTAAACTGTCTTGTCCTATCACGAATGTTGCATGGGAGAGCACCTGGTTCTAACTTTGAGTAGATTACCAATCCTATACCTGTATTCAAATGTAAGTTAAAAAATTGGTGTAATTGAGACGTTGCTAGTTTTTCTTGTTATGTTAAGTAATATACGCTGTTTGGCAGTAGGCACATAGCTCTGACTTTTGTATGTCATTTGACAGGTGTATAACGATGGGTTATGTGCGTTATTTGACAGGTGTGTAGCTATTACTGTTATTTGACAGGCTTATAGCTGTGACTTATGTATGTTATTTCACAGGTGTTTGGCTATGACTTATGTATGCTATTATACAGGCGGACAGTTATTTCTGGAGGATTACTCATCCCAGCTCCTGTGTCGGTCGCCATCTTCGAAAACCAAGTGTTCTTTGCTGACATCACAAGGCTGGGGGTAATGCGTGTGGACAAGAACGACGACTCTGTGCAACCCAAGTCCTTACAGCAGACGTACAAGATGGATGTGGGGGTACCGACTGCTGTTTTAGCATTCCATCATTCTCTTTACAAGCTTACACAGAGAGGTCAGATCCTTAAGTGTCATTCAGCTATGATCAATAAACAATATGTACCGAGTCAGTTAAAGCCATTTTAAGACTCGATCAAGGTTCTTGATTTACAATACAATGGGCATTAATTTTTTGACACAGTAGCTTTTTTTTTTTTTTTTTTTTTTTTTTTTTGCATAAATAAAAGAGTTTACCTAGTGGTGGAAGGGATTTAAGGGTGGAAGGGATTTAAGGGTGGAAGGGATTTGAGGGTGGAAGGGATTTGAGGGTGGAAGGGATTTGAGGGTGGAAGGGATTTGAGGGTGGAAGGTAGGGTGTTGGACATAATAAACACACCTGGTGTGAAACTTTTTGGGCATATCAGAAATGTAACTCTGATGTGTGTTGAGTACATCTTGAGCTCCCCACACTTCAACTAACTATACAAGTGTGGATGAGTTGCATGATTTGACTTTGTTATCTCTCTGGTGCTTCTGACTTTGTTAAAAAATGTCTCCACCTGTCATAACTTTGTCATTTCAGTTAATATTTTTGGTGTTCTTTTTCTTACAAATCATTTTGTAAATTCTATTTGAAGGCTTCACTAACTTGTCAGTGCTTCAAATTTTGAACATGTATTGTTATCGTCTAATCAATGATCCTATAATTATGTCTGACTTCAGCCAGCAACCCCTGCACCAACAGCCCCTGCCAGCACATCTGTGCCCTGTCTCACACAGCAGACAACAGCGGACTGGGCTACAGGTGCTTGTGTAAGGCAGGTTATGAGCTGGACTACAATCTTAATAACTGCACAAGTAAGTTGCACTGTACTCACAGTGGTCATTCCTCTTTCACAGACCCTCATAAAGCCCAAGTGCCTGAGGTTGAGCAGCCTGACTCCCTTAATAAATTGTACAAATATGGAGAGCTTCAAAAATTATTTAAGTGGATTGACCTTGTTGCTACAAATGGGCAGGTTTAACTTGATTTTAAAGTTATGATAGGATTTTCAAATATACACTTCAAATTTTCATGCAGCCTAGGTAAATTTAATGTCTTGATTTTTGTTATATAACAACTAAATAACTTTATGCACACACCTTAAATTCTATTACCTGCTAATCTGTTTCAGAGCACAAGTTGAAAAAAAATTTATTGAAACTTTTTTAATATTTCTGTTTTAAATTCCAATATAATTTTATGGTTAAAAGAAATGGTTGTATTGTTTATTAGTTTGAATATTTATTATGGTCTGAAGAATACAGCTGACCTGATTACTCTTATGATTTTGATTTTGGCGTACAATGAATGATTTTGAGGTGTATACATTATAGATAGTGTATGTTTTTTTTAAAAACCATTATTTTGAGGGTAAACAGGTCTGATACAGCTATACAAATCTGTTTAAGATGAATCGAAATGTGTGAAATAAGTGGGAAAATAGATACTCAAAGCTTTTACAAGGTGAAATATTTTATATTTTAATGATTTAAGCATAGTGAAAGAGAAAACAAAAAATTATATTCAAATCATAAATAAACATTTGACATGACAGAAATATATTTGATTGCATTTCAGAGGTTGAAAAGTTTATTATATTTGCTACCCCACGATGCATTCGAGGCATATCCCTCGATGAGCCTGGTCAGTATCCGATAGATTCCATTCCACCCATTGTTGGTCAGCGATGGGGTCGTCTGGGGGTCAATTATGTTGCTCTAGATTATGACGCTGAAAATGAGACGGTCTTTTTCTCTGATGTAAGGAATCGAGTGATCTACCGAGGAAAGATTGGGGAATCAGGTACATATACTTCACTCAAGATAAAAAAAACACCTTCAAATCTTAATTATATATTTTTTTTAAATTCAGTTTTATATAGTAATAATTTAACAGTACTCATTGAGAGAGAAATAGCCCACTTGGTAGAAATATTTCTGATGAAAGCTTTCATTACTCTGCCTTACCTTAATGGAACAAATGATCTATAGGCTATAATATAGAGTGCATCAAGGTCTCAACAAATAGCTCAGTTGACTTCATTGAGATTTGTGTCTTTAGTTTCTCATGATCTGTTGGTTCTTGTTTTGTATTGTTTGCAGAAGAAGGCATTTAGCTGAAATGTCCTTTTAATTGTCCTGTCTTTTGATTTCAAGACTAAACGCTATCTCTTTCACACGCCTTGAAGGCATGAATGCAGTCCTTCATTTATTATCCTCACCTTGATAAAGCTTTTGCCCATTTTTGTAAAACCTTGTGACTTTATAATATTTATAACAAAATTTGTACTCAAATACACCATTGTCCAATCAATTACATTGATGTTTTCTGGACAATCCGAAAAGAATAAAAAATATGCATGTCATTGAATATATTTTCTTAACATTGATCTTATGCTGACATTTTGTTTTTGTTACCATAGAACCCATGCCACAACTGGTAACAGAGATTGGATCAGTAGAGGGTATCACATACGACTGGATTTCAAAAAACCTTTTCTTCACCGATTTTCGGCGGAGCACCCTTTCAGTCATTCGCGCTAACCACCCGACAGACAGACGTGATCTGATAAAAAATCTTGGCAATGCACGCTCCATTGTTGTGCATCCGCTGAAAGGGTGAGCAATGCAAACACATTAAGTCATTGCCAGATTTGATTGATTTCCTGAAATAAACCATCATTTTAGTATTATTATTATTTCTCTGTATATGCAACTCTTTTGAAATAGAAATGTAATTATTATTTTCAATACCGCCAACTTAAAAGTTGTATAGCTGCTTATAATTTATAATAAAAGATTTATAAGTCAAATACTTGAAATTCAAACTCATTTTCCTGATCTTGGACTTTACAGAATTTAAATGTAAATCAATAATGAAAATGAAAAGTTTATAAATATTTTGACATTTTGAAACTGAAATCTAAATTAGCTTTTATCAGAATCCACTGCTCCATACATCACTGCAGTTCATAAATGTTATAATTATCATTACACCTGTCTCTTCAGTATTGAAAAACAAATTAATGCTCAGTTCTCAGCCTAGATCTCAGCTAAAGGAATGCCACCCTCTCCCCCAGATATCTGTTTTATTCTGATTGGTTGAGAAACTCTAGGCAGAGCGCCTACATCGCCCGCAGTTTTACTGATGGAACCAACATCACACAGATTAAAAAAAATCAACTGGGCTGGCCAAACGGCTTGACCATTGACTTCATGAGTGACCGCTTGTACTGGGCAGATGCTTATTTTGACAGGTAAATCTAAGTAAATGTCAAATATTTCTTTTCTGTGTGCATTGATTTTATAGTCAGAGGTGTAACAGTTGTGGCTGTGTGTAGTGAATCCCAACTCATCAACAAGTGAAAGGTGGTGCAGAAGTTGTCTGTAAGTCTTTGCAGTTACGAAGTCTTTGTCAAGACAAGACAGAAGTTCAAATAAAGAATTTCATGAAAGAAATGAACTTTTAGTGCGCATTTCTGTGCTGTTTCTCTTATGTTTCTTCTCTTTAAAAAAAAAATATTTTTTCTTTTTAGTTTAATTTCCACCAACTGTTTACTTTGTGAACAAATTTTTTTGGATATCATAGCATCCTAAACATTTAAAAAAACAAAAAAATTTACTTAATTTTAACAGCGATAAAAATTCCACTCATTAATTTTTTAATTTCAATACCTTTTTTCTTTTTTCAACTTAATGTGACAGTGGGCACATACATATATCATATACTGAATGTGTTTTTATTAATGCCCAGTAAACACAATAGTTATGTAGAATTAAATAGAAGTCCAATATGACTCCAGATTTAAAATTCTTTTTCCCCATAACAGTTACTTGGCTACAAAGGAAATAAAAAAATTCATCCAATTAGTTATTTCCATTAGGTATTTTAATGCATCCATGAATCCATTTACAGGATACAGCATTCAAAGCTGGATGGAGAGGATCTCCAAACTCTCACTGGTCATACAGTTGTCCACCCATTTGGTATTGCCATTTACAAAGGTAGGCCTTACAATTACAAACGTTGGTGACAGATGTTTTTAAGCCACTCCCTTGCAAGGCGAAATTGAATGTTTTATTTATTTTTTTTAAACACGGACATGAGTGTTGATATGAATTTATTTTAAGACAGAGAAGTCTTTCGTAGCAGATCTTGGTTGCTTTTGAAACAGTAAAATGAAATAGGTTTCTTGAATCTTAAAAAAGATTATTGGATCGTAAAATAGGTTTATTGGATCCTAAAATAGATTTATTGGATCCTAAAATAGATTTATTGGATCCTAAAATAGGTTTATTGGATCCTAAAATAGATTTATTGGATCCTAAAATAGGTTTATTGGATTCTAAATAGGTTTATTGGATTCTAAATAGGTTTATTGGATCCTAAAATAGATTTACTGGATCCTAAAATAGGTTTATTGGATTCTAAATAGGTTTATTGGATTCTAAAGGGAAAATGGACAGAATCTCAGAATTAGACTAATGTGTATAAGAAACCCCCATAAAATAAAAAAATTATCTGTTCTCATTGGAAAATGTTTGTATTGGGTAAATAATTATATAATAGATAAACACATAATCCATCTTATAATATTTTTACTTCTCGTTTTGCTAAAGTTATGTTAGAGATCATATTTTACAGTGCATCTTTTAAGATAACAGGTTGAGACTTTTCTTAAAGAAACACTGTAATAATTTTAAACTGCTTTGAGGGTGTGGAACGACTGGTCTAACATTGTTTGGTTTCCCCCCTGACCTTTGCTTTGTGCTCCAGATTATATCTACTACACTGACTGGAGACTCCAGTCCATCATTCGCATTAACAAAAGGGGAGGCCAGGAGCTAAAGATGAGATCTGGCATTGGAAGAGTTATGGGCATCAGAGTCTATGATCCGAGTCTGCAACCTCTGTCAGGTACAGCAGAATACATGAGTAGTTTTTCCATTGTGTGAAAGGTTGTGTGCTGTTCATCATAGCTTGGCCTCTAGGTGATATTTACTGGCCTAATAACTCTAAAAAAAGCAGCTCAATACCTCTGATAACGTCCCTGGTTGAAAGGTTTGCAAGTGTCTAGGAACATTTACGCATAAGCATCATTTACTTAGACTGTAAAATAGCTTAGGAAAAATGAGACTAACCTACTGACCCAGTGTAAATTTTTTGAAGTGTCTAGTTATATTTGCATCATTTTGTTAGATTCTGAAACAGCATAGGAAAAATGAGACTATTATACTTACCCAGTGTTTTGAAGCTCGTCATAGAAGCACACATTACAAAATCTGGACCACACGCTTACAATAAATCTTAAAGCAGAACATTATTTCCTCTATTTTAAACATAGACTTTACAAGGGTATATATTGCAATATGGAAAACTAAAACTACATCTTCAAACTAATAAGAAGTTGAGCTATATTGAAATGGGGGAAAAATCTGCAACTAATACCTGTGACTTGAAAGGTAAAGATAAGATTAACCATAAGGGATTCTCTTCACCATGTTGTAGACTGGAGGCCAGAAGTAAAAGCCAGATGAAATATTCTCCGTTTGGTCTCATTTCAGCTCAAAACCCATGCCACCTTAGGAATGGAGACTGTTCCAACTTCTGTTTTGTTGTGCCTGTCCAAGAAGGGCTCAGCCAAGTCGGAAGGCACTGCGGGTGCCCGTATGGCATGAGGCTGGGGAGGGACCAGCGCACCTGCGAACCCCATCCCGAGGAGGTGGATGTGACAACCTGCAGGCCAGGGTTATTTCAGTGTCAGAACGGTCGTTGTATTCCAAACTCTTACAGATGTGACAGGGACAATGACTGCTTAGATAAGTCTGATGAGCAAAACTGCCCAGAAGGTAAACAGAACAATGACAAGTTTTGAATAGTCGCCTGTTATAACTCAGTAACTATTTTAGATGAATTAGACAGGAACAATTTGTGTCAATACAACAATATAATATGTTAAGCATTAATAGTAATTTTACTCAATACACAAGTAAACGTTTCGGCACATGCCTTCATCAGTTTAACAACAAAACATTTAAATAAGTATAAATTAAATTTGCATAATATTATATACATATATCCTACCTAAAAAGGAGAGAAAAAATAGGAGAGGACATAGAAACCAGACAGAAGAAAAGTAAAGAAGAATAGAAAGGAAGTGATTTTGTTTTTTACATTTGACTTCAAATCACTTCCTTTCTATCCGACTTCATGACTCTGTTCCTGTGGAATTGGGGGAGATTATCACAATTGAAATTCAGTGGCCTTAAGTCATTGGGAATGACTGCCACCAGACAAAAGTTTAATTCTATTTTCATTTGGTTTCAGCAACAACGTGTGCGGCCAACAGATTTAAATGTGACAATGGTCAGTGTATCAGCCGCGTGTGGGTTTGTGATGGAGATAATGACTGCGGGGACATGACAGATGAGAAAAACTGCTGTAAGTGACTAGAGCTTAATATTTGATAATTTCTAAACTGTTAAATAAAAACATTGATAAATGAGCGGAAAAATGTAAACAATTAAACTGAATGCAAGTTCTATTAAAAATTAGGCATGGGACAGTGATATTGAAATGGAAGGAAACGTTATTTTTACAAAAAGTAAACTGATTTTGATAAAAAGATTTTTTTTACAAATTTAAAAGCTGTCAATATTCATCAAAATTTTTTTAAAAATTGAATGACTTACTCATAAACCTCTATTAACATCAATAACGGATATTTTAAAAAATTTATTCGCACATCGGTAATTAGAATAAAGAGGAAAGCTATTTTTGCTGGTAATTCTGTTATGTTTCTATATTATGAAAAAGTAATTACCAATGGTTCAATCTTTTTACAGCATCTAAAACGTGCAACTCCAGGGAGTTTCAGTGCAACAACAGTCTATGTATTAGCCAGTCCCTAAAGTGTGACACGGATAATGACTGTGGTGACGGCTCAGATGAAGGAGAGTTTTGCGGTAATGTTTTATACAGGCTGAGAGATAATAAAGCATAACTCCTTCCTGCCATCCGCATTGGCCTAACTCAGGAATTGAGACATTTAGCGTGACCATCAATTGATTTTGCTCCATTTCTGCCCATTCTTTGCTAGATATTCCTGTTAAGCCCTAGACAATTTTCTTTACAAATTAATTGAACATTAATATATTGAGTAGGCATTAATGCATCGATAAGAGAATAAATCACTAAGGGGTTTTAATTTTTGTATTTGTTTATGTGAAAGTATCATTTTTAAAAAAAATCATTGGCTGTGCTGTAATGTCAAAAGGTTTATTGGTAAGGAGCAGGAAAAATACAGATAACTAAAAATTTCACTAAATTCAGTTAAAATATTGTTTTTTTATTGTAAGATCTCAAAAACCTGGGAGTGAACTACTGACAGCACTCTAAATTCATTTATTTCATATTGCAGTCACACAGTCGTGCTACACTCTAAATGCATGTCTTTCATATTGCAGTCACACAGTTGTGCTACACTCTAAATACATTTTGTCATATGGCAGTCATACAGTCGTGCTACAAATAAAAATAAAAAATCTAATTTGTATGCAACTCTATTTAAAACCAACTATTCCAAACCAGCTATTCATTCATAACCAGCTATTCCAAACCATTTATTCCAGACCATCTATTCCAAACCATCTATTCCATACCAGTTATTCAACATTAATTTAGTTTTCAATTTAAAAAAATGAGAAAATAATTTTTTAAACAATACCTAATTCATTTGAATATACATTTATTTATTTAGGAGAACACACCTGCCCCTTACACTTTTTCCAATGTGATGACCGAAGATGCATCCCAGAATTACGTGTTTGCGACGGTGGAAGTGATTGTTATGATGGCACGGATGAACGGGATTGCCCCCCCTTGAACTGCACAGGCTCAAGGTGGACCTGCAAGAATGTCCGTCAGTGCATCTTGACAAAGCACCATTGTGACGGTGTGCCAGATTGTAATGATGAATCGGATGAGCAGAACTGCCGTAAGTGCTTCTTAGATATGTGTAGGATTGGATCAGTCTAAATGCGAACCCTCCCATCCTGCTTTTAGGCTTTAATTTTTAAACTTTTTTTTGGCCTTTGCCCCCTTGGCACCATAAACCCCTGCGTTACTCTTTACACCCCCACCCCCCCACCCATTGTTCAGGACAGTAGTGAGCACAACTCTGTAAGAAATATTGTTTTATGCAATTGAACTTTAGATGGAATGAGTAATGTGATGCCATCTCTAAGGAGGGTGCCAGTATGGGTTTACACCAACCCTGGTGACGCCACACGCTTTATTATCTTGGAACCCAGCGCAGTGTCACATAGCTTCTAAAAGGGACTTACACACTCCTATTGTAAAAGTCTATAAGCTTTCACTTGTTACCCTCCATATTTTGGTGATGAATGAAGCACCAGAAAGTAAATGATGTACTTTTAAAGCATCAACTAAACTTTCATGAAAACAAAGACATGAAATTATGCTAGTTAGATTCTAACTGATTCCAGTCCCTGACAACGCACTGCCTTCTAAACAATCTTCAGGGGCCCAACAATCCATAATATTTACCAGCATCGCCAGAGTAAATAGGCGTTATGATTTAATTGCTTATTTCTGTGTCCAGGGAACGGTGTAAAACAATTATTATGTCGGCAGCTCCTTTCTAAACGGCTTTCCCTACTTTTATACAATATATTGATTACGCCTTACTAAGTAAATATTTCTTGTAGTTAATAGCCCCTTGTACTGTTGGGCTGATGTTTATTCATGACTCTTATTGATGAGCCGATTATTTTAAAGCTTTTAAAAATTTTTAAATATAAATTTTTATTTAAAAACAAATGGTTTTATGATATATTCCACCACCACTCTTTTAGGTAGCTGCATTGCCCTCCAAATCTACTTTGCACTTTACCACCACCCTTGGGACATCCCACCTTGAGATTCACTGCTCTGAGCTCTTCCCAATGTCATAAAACTAAATAAAAGTCACTTTGCTAGAGACTATATGATATTGATACTTTTCAGCATTCTTTACATACTCTCTAAATCAGATAAAATGGCTGATTTTTGTCATATTATAACTTTGATGCATTTTGTTTCATACAATCCAAGCAAATGGTACAGTTTGAGTTGATTACTGCAAGGGGCAATACTCTTAGTGAATTAGAACAATGGGAGTGAACTTCCTCTGTCCCAGTCAGTCAGGCTGCCAATGATAAGTTAATGGCAAGAGATCCCTGTAGTTTAGAAGCATTGGATGCTCTCATAATGGCATATGAAACATATATAAATGCTTTAATGGATTTCCCATGGCCCATTATTTTAAGAGTTCAAATCTTCCTTTATTTTATCTTTTTGTTTTGGAAACCCAGCTGAACAAACCCCAGACAGCTGCCATAGAGACCAGTTCCGCTGCACAGATGGCGGATGCATCCCCGAGTCTTGGAAGTGTGACGGGCAGACTGACTGCGATGATGATTCTGATGAGGGCGCTACATGTCGTAAGCTGTTTATCCTTTTCTACAGGAAAATCTCATTGTGATTTAAGGAGAGATTTTGGTTAACCAAAATTTCAACATTCGTGGGCCTACTATTGTGCCACTTCGGGGCCTACTATTGTGCCACTTTGGGGCCTACTATTGTGCCACTTTCTAGGTCCAACCATAAATAATTTTTTTAAATGGCAGCTAAGGCAAATTTTGGTCAAAGGGAAAATGCATTTCATTAGGGTAAATACCACTTGGCTTAATCAAGATATAATAGGTAATATAAGGGGGAAAAAACCATCCAGCCAGCTGGTAAGGAACTTTAGCAGTGCATGCCCCTAGACATGCTATTGATTTGCATAAAAATCATCAAGCGAAATATACACCAGAGTAAATGAATCAAATTAAATGTATTTTTATTTAGAGCAAAAGTTTCAAAACGGACAAAAGGAAACAATAACTTTACAATGGGCAATTTATCACCCTTACAAGTCTAATTAAAGTCACTGGGGTTAGCTCTTAGTCTTTGAGATGCCATCTTTGAGATGCCAGTTTTTTTGGTTGTTTTTTTTTTTGTATTAAAAAAATGATAGCATCACATATATAAATCTTATGTTTCTCACATCTCAGCACCAGTGATATGTTAGTAAAATGTTGTCTTGTACTAAGGGATAAAGACATTAAAATATGTTTTTTATTTTAAATTCTTTGTGCAACAAAAACAACTTACCTTAAATAGATTAAACCAAATTATTGATGATCTCCTCATCTCCCCAGCCCCGGTGACCTGCTATGGAAATAGGTTTCGATGTGCCAACGGACGCTGCATTTTCCATGGATGGGTTTGTGACGGTGATGACGATTGTGGGGATAATTCGGATGAGGATGCAGCACTTACTTGTGGTAAGTAGAGTTATTGGTAACTTGGGTTGACTTTACGGGTTGTACAAGAGTATAGAAATAACTAAAAGAGGACATGAAGGCTAATGGGGAATTCAAACATAGGCTAATGCACATGTTTATTTAGGTGATAGAGGAATTTTCTTACATAAGGTATTTTACCCATGCATCCTAAATAGATAGAAATTATTTTAAAAGGAAAAGACAAGGGAACTGGGGGCTTAAAGATAAATAAAAAGATACAATTTTTTTTCCTGATTTAAAAAAAAAAAAATTGTTCACTTCATAGCACATAGCAAAGAGTTTTTAATTGATGATATCAACTACAACTCATCAGTGATGAATTCATCCGTCTTATTTTATGTAAAATCATTGTGATTTTTAAAAATATGCTCAGTATTTTGTATAAAATATTCTGTTATGTTGGTTTTTTTTGTAGCCCCGCCCCCTTTCTCTTGCCCAAGAGGCAAATGGGAATGCCCGGGGGGAAGTCACGTCTGCATCAACGCTACACTGGTCTGTGATGGCAACCCTGACTGTCCCGAGGGTCACGATGAAAGTCCTGTGTGCAGTAAGTACAACATCCACATTGATCGCGTGGAATGCACAGGATTTTCAGTTTTATCAAACGAAGCAATGAACCCAAACCTGATAGTCCGCCTTCCAAACTAAAATTGCTTGAAGGGATGCATGAGAATACTGCATTGGCCCAAAACATCATGATGAAGGGATGCATGAGAATACTGCATTGGCCCATAACATCATGATGAAGGGATGCATGAGAATACTGCATTGGCCTAAAACATCATGATGAAGGGATGCATGAGAATACTGCATTGGCCCAAAACATCATGATGAAGGGATGCATGATAATACTGCATTGGCCCAAAACATCATGATGAAGGGATGCATGATAATACTGCATTGGCCTAAAACATCATGATGAAGGGATGCATGAGAATACTGCATTGGCCCAAAACATCATGATGAAGGGATGCATGAGAATACTGCATTGGCCTAAAACATCATGATGAAGGGATGCATGAGAATACTGCTATGGCCCAAAACATCATGATGAAGGGATGCATGAGAATACTGCATTGGCCCAAAACATCATGATGAAGGGATGCATGAGAATACTGCATTGGCCTAAAACATCATGATGAAGGGATGGTGGCCACTGTCAGAAGTAAAATGTAACCATCAGCCAATTTGTTCTGCTGCTGTACTGGAGTTGATATGTATAAAGATTTATGGATTGGTGGGTGACTGGTGGATGACACTATATTTTATGCACACTTAGTTGTCCTAGCTTCCCTGTTAGATGGTATCTAAGCCAATATTTTATGCACACTTAGTCGTCCTAGCTTCCCTGTTGGATGGTATCTAAGCCTATATTTTATGCACACTTTGTCATCCTGGCCCCGTACACACCATTTATTGTCGTTCGTTGATTTTGTTATTGAGACGCACTTGAAGTGGCAGCCATGAATTGTGTAAACATAAATATTTCCTTCATCCAGATCAAGACAGCTGCCGAGACAACAACGGTGGATGCAGCCACATGTGTTTACAAACCCCTCGAGGTGCTGAATGCAAATGCCCAAGGGGCCAAGAGCTTAATGGAACAAAAGTCTGCATTGGTCAGTTTTTTTCCCCTGTTTATTAGGGATAAATGAAATTTCTGAGCCGCATTGCATTTCTAATAAGGAACAGATTAGGTCATCATTTCTTGTTCACCATTTACCTCCCTTAACTTCTCTGAATTTATCAAGGGATATCTATTTACTTATCTCCCTAGCCCCTCAGTGAGTCTCAAATGTTATCTACACCTAGCACCTCAGGGAGTTTAAAATGTTATCTAGCCCTAGCACCTCAGTGATTCTCAAATGATATACAGCCCTAGCAGCTGAATTAGTTTCAAATGATATGCAGCCTTAGCACCTCAGTGATTCTCAAATGATATACAGCCTTAGCACCTGAGGGAGCTTAAAATGTTATCTAGCCCTGGCACCTCAGATGTTAATAAGTTGAGATAAGTTCATGCTTTTTCCAAACTCCAAAACATGAATTTTTTTTATGTCGTATTCAGATGAAGATGAGTGCACTCCCCCTGGCCGGTGCAGTCAGTTGTGTGTCAACACCAAAGGCTCGTTCAAATGTGAATGTGTGGAGGGCTACTTGTTGCTGACTGACAAAAGGACCTGTAAAGTTATTAGAAGTGAGGACCCGTCCTAAATTGTTAGTCTATTAAACAAGGGTTGATTTTTTTGGGTAACTCTGCTGTGAAACTGGGTTGTATCAAGTTCTTTTGTGTAGGCTTATGATTTTGATATGTCAGTGTTATGTACCATTGGGGTTTTGAAGATTTAATTTGTGTTAATAGTTGGCTCATAGAAAAAATAATACCTAATAAAAGACTGATCTTACAATATGTTAAGAAAACGATACCAAAAGCTAGTGATACTAAAATTTAAATTAATGATATAAATACATTTCTATTCAAATACAAATGTGAGTACAGAAGCAGACAAAACTGTACCAACTTACAGCAAATAAAAAATTTAAAATCCTCAAAATACTAATATTAATTTATAATTTATACACAAAATAATATGACGTCTCGTATGTCTAAGTCTTGCTATGTCTGTCTGCTAAGACACCTGGCAAGCTTTGTGTAGGAATTAAATCAGAACGTTCATGTAAAGAAAATCTAGAAATTGTGTCACCTAATGGCATTCTTGAGAACAAATGGAATGTAAACAACTTTTTCCCCAGACAAGAAAGGTGACGGGCATGGAAGAAGTGACATAACACAGTGTCATGTTAATATCAAGGTCATCCTAGCGGCTAAAAATGACTCTATGTTGAAGTTTAAAAATAGGCCAAGCCATATGCGATTACTATGCTATTTGTGACTGTGGGCTTTTGTTATCATACTCCTTTTTTTAAAAAACTATTTTTTCCATCTAAGAGTTTGGCACTCACCAAAAATAAGCTATAACTTCCTCAGATGTTTATCTCCTGATGTGTTTCAAAGTAGGCTGCTGAATAGATTATTCTGAGCTTAACCAATACTTATAATCTCACCAAAAATACTCTGTAACCTCCTCAGATGACACAACACTGAGCCTTCTGATAGCCAGCAGGACAGCTGTGGTCAAGTCAAACTTAGACGTCTGGATGTACGACCCCCTGCCCTTGCCCCCATTCAGATCGCTGACAGCCATAGACATTGATGTCAACCAGTCACACATCTACTTCTCTGATACGGTCCTCAAGAAAATCTTCAGGACCACCATCAAAGGCTCAGACCTGACAGAGGTTAGCCGAGTTAAGAGGACTAACTATAATGCATGTAACTACTGATCACACACAAAAGGATATCATGGATCCTCAATGGTTAAAATAAAATAAATATAAACATTTGAAATTAGCCTTCAATTTTTTAGAATTCATTCAAATATTTTCGAAGCATTCATGAAAGCTTGCACAAAAGCTTACACAAAACTGCCTACCTCTAAAAAATGTAACTCTTATCAATATTTCTATAGTAAATCAGCTGAGAAAAGAACCACCAGTCTAATAGTTATAGAACTGTTTTGCCTCTAAGAAACAGACTTGTATGATATATCAAATGGAAATGTTTCTTTATCCTAAACATTTCCATGATCTAACTATTTTTTACCAGTATAAACCGAAATTTTTAAAATAATGCCCAGGACTGTAAAGCTCTTCACTAAATTAAAAAAATGATTATTGTTGTTTTAATTTAGTAAGCTTGTATAGAAGACTGCTAAAAAAAAAAAAGGGTTTCTGTTCATTTATAATTGCTCTGATTCAGATAATTATACTGTAAGATTTTAATCAAAGAGCGAACGCTATGTTTACCATATGATTAGATCTTTTTCAGTAGCAAATGTTTGATATCTTGTTACCTTGCCAGATTGTGGCCACAGGCATTGATGTGGTGGAGGACATCGCAGTGGACTGGATAGGGAAGAACCTGTACTGGACAGACTACGGGATGGAGACCATAGAAGTGGTCAACCTGGCTGGAGAGAACAGGATGGTGCTGTTCAGTGAAAATATCACCAACCCCAGGGCCATCGAGGTCGACCCTAGAGACGGGTCAGTAGTCACATATTTTTGTGTTGGCTATGATAAGTGAACAGAATTTTGTTAATCGAATAATGATAGTTTTTTTGTTGTTTTTTTTTGTTCTTTTCAAACATTGAACAAACTATGCCAAACATTCAGTGTTGCCATTAATTTACTAAGGCTTGAGATCTGGCAATGCTTTCTATGTTTGTTTTCCTAGCTTAACATAACCTGATAAAACTTCCCTCTATGTGACATACGGTATTTTAGAGAATGGTTTTTAAAGTCATGATTAAAAATTGAATTGCTTGTCATGTTAATTGTTCAATTTTTATGCTATTTTATAAACATTTCACTTGCGCCGCAGGGTCCGCTATTTGTTCTGGTCAGACTGGGGTCAGAATCCTCGCATTGAGCGGTCAGGACTGGACGGGTCCGGTCGAACTGTTCTGGTGTCTGAAAAACTCTTTTGGCCCAACGCCCTGACCATCGACTACCCTAACAAGAGACTGTATTTTGCCGACGCACGCATGGATTTCATTGAGTTTTGCAATTATGACGGCTCAGGCAGACATCAAGTTTTTGCCAATGATCATGTGAGTAACCAGAAGTGTATGGAGCACACAAATTTCTCACATTTCATATGGAAGACAGGTGTTTGTTCCTATCTCCTTACCAGTCTGGCTGTTCCTGTCCCCTGACCATTCTGGCTGTTCATATCCCCTCACCAGTATGGCTGTTCATAATCCCTCACCAGTCTGACCGTTCCTATCCCCTTACCAGTCTGGCTGTTCCAGTCCTCTGACCATTTTGGCTGTTTGTATCCCCTTACCATTATGCCTGTTCATATCCCCTTACCAGTCTGGCTCAATCATTTATGTATTTGTACGTATATTGAACAAATGTAGATTTAATGAAATGATTGCTTGCCACCGGATATAAAAAGACATGTATCTTGATTATTTCTTTTTTAAAAATGTTACACTTGTATTTGAGAAAATTGTATTACTTAATTTGACCCATTACATTTTATAGATTTACTGAAATACTGGCTTTCATTTTAGTTTTGACTCAAATTGCATATTTTTGCTGCCACCCTTTTTCTGTGTGCTGGGCTGACTTGACTCTTCCCACCTCAGTTCCTGAGACACCCTCATTCCCTGACCATCTTTGAGGACTGGATCTACTGGACAGACCGGGCGGCCAGCAGGGTTTCAATGTGCAACAAGTTCAACTGCTCTGACAGGTCTGTCGTCGCCTCCAGCATATCCCGACCTCTGGGCATTGCCGTCTACAACATCATCAAGCAGCCCACTGGTAGGTCAAATCAAGAAATGTGTGGGCATTGACGTTCCTCCATCACATGGGACTGATCAATCTGCTGATGCTTTCAAAGATGTGCAGACTTTGTGTTTACTGCGTGGGACATGGCTCGTATTTTTGGGGATGACATGGAGATACAAATATATTCAAGATTGTCAAAAGGTCTGATTTGGCTATCAAGTCATTGATATCATCATGTCATAAAATATTTTAGGTAGACACGATAATATCAATTAATTTGATGTCTGAATCAGACCCTTTCACAAACTTGAATGGAGATTATACAATATTTTAAGTAAATTTATTTCTTGATCTTCAACCTACAAATATTCATTAATTAAATGGAAAATCCCATGAAATGTTGAATCAAAATTTTTTTTAAATACAATCTCTCAGGTACCAATCCTTGCCAGGATGCTCATTGCAGCCATCTTTGTCTGCTATCACCACGACCCAGCGGCTACAGCTGTGCGTGCCCAATAGGGATGCAGCTGGACGGTACAGCTCACAGCTGTGTCAAAGGTACCGTACCTTCTGGTCACGTTTATGTCAATTCATATTTTTTCCACCCATTTCCTGATATTTTGGTCCCATTAATTCTAAGGTCAGACCGTCTGCTTAAAGTTGATATTTTGATCTAAATTAAATTTAAGTTTAGACCTTTTCTTACAGATGTTATTTTTCCCAGCTAGAAATCATCATTGCACAAGGGGACTTTTCTGTACAATACTAACTCATTCTAACAACGCACACTGCGTTCATCCGCCGTTCTCAAAAGCACGGACCAACGCGCTGTGCGTTGTTTCAATATCATGTTTGTTTCTTTGCTATTTCTCTACTAAACTTTTTACGAGCTATTTTTAAATAAGACTTTTACATAGAAGAGTGGTCTTATTGTTTACAAGCGAAACCAAGGTTTATTTGTTGTCATTTGAAGCATTATTTTGACAATTTTCTTCACGTTTTTTTTTCAACTGTTGCTATGGCTACCCTAGGCCCTAGTAGGTAAGTTTCCTAGACAATTAACAGTTTAAAAAGCTTTGGAAGTGTTTTGATAGTGAAGATTATTTATATTTAGATGCATCGCATGATTCTGATAGTAGTAGTTTTAGAGGAATTGAGTTATAGAAGTGAAGAAGAGGTATGCGTACATCAGGGTTTGGGGAAAAACTGGTTTAGCATAAAATGTTTTAACATTTTATGGTTCTTTTCTGTAACTTATTTTATTTAAAGTGAAGAAATAAGTTTACAAGCATATAGTCCTTTCAGTTACCTTTCATTTGATACCAAGTTTAGTCTTATAAACCAAAGAATAATATTTGAAATATTTTTTTAATAAATCCAACCTCTCACTCTTTTTCCGCTCTTCGGAAAAAATTTGCATTTTTTATAATAAAAAAAATTCTGCTGCGCAAGACTTAATCCTGTTATCCAGTAGTTCTCAAGCTATTTCATAATGCAAATGATGCTCTTTAACCAATAATGGTTTGATTCACTCCTCATTTCCATCAAAAATTGTTTTTGAAAATAAGAAGCAAAAATGTAATTTAACAAATTCATGTAGACCTGACGCACAGACCACCAGTGATCCTTAGGTAATATCAGATTAATCTGTCTCTCGGACCACCAAGCTGGGACACCTTGCTGTACTTTTTTAAAATTATAATGTACACCATATAATTTTCAATCAGGTATTTTCCTGTTTCTCCAATATGATATATAATAAAGTATTTTTCTGTTTCCACCATATGATTGTGATAAAGTATTTCCCTGTTTCTGCAATATGATTTATGATAAAAGTCTTTTTTTTAAACAAACCCCCCCTCCCCAATGTTGTTCAGATTCCTCTGAGATCCTGTTGTTCATGCAGTCTCGCTTCATTGCCGGGATCAAACTAGGCAGCACCAATGTCACAGGTATTGTACCGGTCAGCTCCATCAGCAGCGGTCAAGATTTTGATTTTGACAGCAAGGAGGGATTCATCTATTATGTGGAAAAGATCAATGTTAGTACAGTGTTGCTACTTTTTTCAAGGATGATAGTGCTGTGTGAACGTGTGAGGTCAGGTTGATGTACTTTGTGAGGTCAAGTTGATGGGTAATGTTTAAGTCGATTTAAACTTTGTTGGTGACGGGGGTGTCTTTGTTAGGGTGTGTGCGTATGATCATTAACAAGACTGTACTATATTTTGGGGGAATAAAAAGTTAATAAGAACATTTAACTTATAACTGGTTTGAACTACTGTATACCTATCACAATGTCATTAATTTTACTTCTTCCATTCTTGAGAGGATGTTGGTTTCTTTTTTTTTTTGTAGTGGAGTTTTTGTTGTTGTTTTTTTTCCAGCTTTTCTTATTTATGGATGTTTGAATTGATTTACCCACAGGGCAGTCTCAAGAGGATTCAGCTGAATGGCCGCAACACGTCTGAGTTTGTGCCCACCGCTGTGATAGGAAGTCCCAATGCCATCGCCATTGACTGGATGTCCAGGAATCTCTTCTGGGCCAATGCTGCGGCCGGATTGATGGAGGTGATGATTAGAATTTAGAACATAGGCTGGTACAGTAATCTAACAATGAGATTAAGTTGTGAAAATATCAAAGATGCTTGCACGCGAAGTGCCTGCGGTTGTAGAAATGCCAACTAAATCTCAAACACAAATTAAATATTTACACCAAGACAGGAGTAAGGTTACACCATAAGACTTCAGTCAACAACAATCACACTCATCCATCTTGTCCTAGTTTTGTTTTCATTTTTATCTGTTTAGCTTGTCATCTCTGATTCAAATAGTAACTGCGGGATTGCACTTTGTAAAGTTTTGGGGGATTGCACATTGTAAAGTTTTGGGGGATTGCACTTTGTAAAATTTTGGGGGATTGCACTTTGTAAAATTTTGGGGGATTGCACTTTGTAAAATTTTGGGGGATTGCACTTTGTAAAATTTTGGGGGATTGCACTTTGTAAAATTTTGGGGGATTGCACTTTGTAAAGTTTTGGGGGATTGCACTTTGTAAAGTTTTGGGGATTGCACTTTGTAAAATTTTGGGGGATTGCACTTTGTAAAATTTTGGGGGATTGCACTTTGTAAAGTTTTGGGGGATTGCACTTTGTAAAGTTTTGGGGGATTGCACTTTGTAAAATTTTGGGGGATTGCACTTTGTAAAGTTTTGGGGGATTGCACTTTGTAAAATTTTGGGGGATTGCACTTTGTAAAATTTTTCAATATGATGTGAAGAAATCTTAAAATAAAAGAGAATACAGGTTTTGGATAACCAGCAATCTAGAATAAATTTCGTTAAATAACTTTTACAGAATTGTATAAATCATATATTATGCCCTGATCATGGAATAATGAAAAACACCTTACCAAAGTCAGGTTATCAGGTGTCGATCAATAGTTCAAAGTTTATGTTTGTGTTTTTTTATAACCAGGTCATGAGATTGGATGGCCCAGAACACTACAGGAGAGTGTTGCTAAGCAATAACGGCAGGAGGAGAGACGTGGCCAACCCACTCTCCCTGTGTGTTGATCCTGGAAGAGGGTGAGTTGTGGCGGAGACCATCATTATACAACTGATCTATTTATTGAAAGGTTACGTGACTGGAGTTGTCAGAAGGTGGGGGCTGAAACAAGACTTACATATCTCTGGTGAAGAATTAATATGAATGTTATTTGATTTTTTAGATTGCTTTACTGGGGTGACGGCGGTGTGCCAGGTGTGCCAGCAAAGATAGCCGTGGTTGATATGGACGGCTCAAACCCCAGAGTGCTGCTGTCTGTGGGGATCAGAACCCCTACATACATGACTCTAGACACACAGTCCCAGTGCTTGTACTTCACAGACACATTCCACAACAAGGTATGTTTTTATTTAGACACACATTCCACAGTAAGGTATGCTTTATGCAGACAGCCCCAGTGCTTGTACTTCACAGACACATTCCACAACAAGGTATGCTTTTATTTAGACACACATTCCACAGTAAGGTATGCCTTATGCAGACAGCCCCAGTGCTTATAGTTCACAGACACACTCCACAACACTTTACGCTTTACTGACATTGAGTCAGATCAAATTTTTAACAATTTATTCAGTTCTTTAAAGGACATGTTAGTGAGTCATGGTTTTAAAACTTTATTCAACATAATTCAAAATTTTCAATGCAGATTTACATTTACCTTCTTGTCAAGTTTTAAAAAAAACAGAACTAAATTTGTTGTTCTGTTAAAATAAAATGTAACTATCAGACATTGTTACATTTGTGTTGAATGCCAAACAGGGCTGCAAGGTGGGTTGGAAGATGGGATGGAAGTGGGGCAGAAGATGGGATGGAACATGGGGTGGAAGATGGGATGTGAGGTGGGGTGGAAAGTAGGGTGGAATATCTGGTGAAAGATGGGATGGAACATGAGTTGGATGGTAGTGTGGAAGATGGGATGGAACGTGTGGTGGAAGGTGGGGTGGAAGACGGGGTGGACTATGTTAGAAATAAATAGACCTCGTGAGTTTCTGTGATCATATGTCTTCCCACTTGACAAAAATAAATAGCATGGGATGACAACCTTGGTTCAGCTGTTGGTAAAAGTAACTGACCTCTCAATGCTTTGTACCGTTCAGCATGTTGACTGCCGCTTGCTTACTGGCCTTCTTACATTCACAGCTCCAACGCTACTACATCAAGTCTGGCTCCATCTCCCTGGTGGTGTCGACGGGCTCCCCACAAGGGGTCGTCTTCCACAACAACAGGCTGTACTACTACGACTCCATCTATGAGACGATCAATCGTGCCCCGTACCCGTCTATTCGGACGGCCGCTGTGCTGCGCAGCAACATCAAAGGCGTAGGGGCTCTAAAGGTCTACTATGACAGACACGAATGTGAGTTGCTTCTTTCAGTAGATCTGTCACCTGGGGCCTGTAACCCCTGCCATTGCAGGGGGGCTTGGATATTTAAGGGTCCCAAATATGTGGCCTGCAAAAACAAAACAAACATCTATTAACTTTAAATGCATGCTGAAAAAGTGCCAGGGGGCCTCCTAAAGTCACTTGACGGTTCTTCCTTGTTTACAATTGGTCAGTCGCAAAACAAAAACAATTGGTCATACTTACCAGTAACTGACTGACAGCACCGCTACTGTTAAGTTAATGGTTGTGTTGCAGAACCGCCACTGTTGATTTAACGGTTGGGTTGCAGCACCGCTACTGTTAAGTCAATGGTTGTGTTACAGGAATACTACTGTGAAGTCAACGGTTGCATTACAGCAGCGCTACAGTGAAGTCAAAGGTTGTGTTGCAGCACCGCCACTGTGAAGTCAAAGGCTGGATTAAAAAGTGTTATTACACTTAACATTTTTATTTCCCTCCTGTTGGTAGGAAGTATATAGAAATTTACTGAAATATCAAAAGCTTGGCATCAAAGATTTCAAATTTATGAAATGGTATAAAAATTGGCTTTATTATTCTTTATATCTTAAAAATTATCTTGGTGTTTTGTAGTTGTTTTTTTGTTGTTGTTTTTGGCTGTGTTCTTGAAGTGCATTCAAAAATTCATTAAAAAATTCCTTCATTTATTCTATCAATGCCAAAAAGTGTTGCTGTGAGAAGCTGTTCTGGCCCACATCACACATGTCAGCTTGATGAATTGTGTTGTCAGCTTAATTGCTTCCCTGTCATGCTAGGGAACATCGCGCTATACAAATTTCCCCTGATGGCTATAATTACTACATGTTTTTTTTCGGGTGGGGGTGTGTATGGTGGCTTATGCATAAACACGTGTTTTTTTTGTGCTGTATCTCGTGTGAGTCATCGGCTCCGTCTGGCCCCGCTTCACATTGAGATTTTAGATTACGTTTTAATATATATATATATATATATATTTTTTTTTTTTAAACAGAACTTGTCTCTTATTTCCTGAGTGACTCAGTCAAACCTAGATACTAGATGTTAATGCCCAATGTACTCATGTTTCAATAGGGTGTGTATGGTGGCTTATGCATAAACACGTGTTTTTTTTGTGCTGTATCTCGTGTGAGTCATCGGCTCCGTCTGGCCCCGCTTCACATTGAGATTTTAGATTACTTTTTAATATATATATATATATATATATTTTTTTTTTTTTAAACAGAACTTGTCTCTTATTTCCTGAGTGACTCAGTCAAACCTAGATACTAGATGTTAATGCCCAATGTACTCATGTTTCAATCCTCACTCTCACGTGCACTGTCCCTTTGACATTTAATTTTGTAAATGACTTTTGTCTGGATGCATGGCACATGTTGTTGTTTTTTTTTTGTTTCATTAAATAAACCTGGCAGACAAAAATTTCAAATTGGCACACACAACAGACACACACCCCCACCCCCACACATTAGTTTGTTTCATTCTTTATGTAGTATAAATGATTGGAGACATTTCATTATATTTACTGAGATCAGTGGTTTCAGACAACGATGGGACATTTAAATATGCTTAGTTAAGTACACCTTCATTGTGTACTGATTTGTACAAGTCTTGTGTCATAGCTGGAGAATCGAATGCCTGCTCTGTGAACAATGGAGGCTGTGAGCACCTGTGTCTGCCCAAGAGTCAGGGACACACCTGTGCATGCAGTATTGGATTCAAACAGAAAGAGGATGGATCCTGTGCAGGTGAGACGTTGGAGGGTGGTGGTGAGACTGTGGAGGGTGGTGATGAGACAGTGGAGGTGGTGGTGAGACTGTGGAGGGTGGTGGTGAGACTGTGGAGGGTGGTGAGACTGTGGAGGGTGGTGATGAGACAGTGGAGGGTGGTGGTGAGACTGTGGAGGGTGGTGAGACTGTGGAGGGTGGTGATGAGACAGTGGTGGGTCTGGGGATGTGGTAGGTCTTTGCTGGGTCTGGAGATGTGGAGGGTGGTGAGGGGACAGTGGAGGTGGGGGTGAGACTGTGGAGGGTGGTGGTGAGACTAGAGGGTGGTGAGACTGTGGAGGGTGGTGATGAGACTGTTGAGGGTGGTGGTGAGACTGGAGGGTGGTGAGACTGTGGAGGGTGTTGTGAGACATTGGGGGGGTGGTGAAACAATGGAGGGTGGTGATGAGACAGTGGAGGGTGGTGGTGAGACAAACGAGGGTGGTGATGAGACAGTAGAGGGTGGTAGTGAGACAATGTAGGGTGGTGATGAGACAAGGAAGGGTGGTGGTGAAACAATGGAGGGTGATGGTGAGACAGTAGAGGGTGGTGGTGAGACAATGTGACAATTTAGGGTAGTGGTGAGACAGTAGAGGGTGGTGATGAGACAGGGAAGGGTGGTGGTGAGACACTGGAGGGTGGTGGTTAGACAATGGAGGGAGCTGATGAGACAATGGAGGGAGCTGATGAGACAATGGAGGGAGCTGATGAGACAATGGAGGGAGCTGATGAGACAGTGGAGGGTGGTGATGAGACAGGGAAGGGTGGTGGTGAGACACTGAAGGGAGATGGTGAGTCAGAGTAGGGTTGTGATGAGACAGGGAAGGGTGGTGGTGAGACACTGGAGGGTGATGGTTAGACAATGGAGGGAGCTGATGAGACAGTGGAGGGTCGTGGTGAGACATTCCACCTGTAAGCACTTCAGGCTTGTCTGCGAAGTACCATGAAGCAATGATTTTGTTATTAAACCTTATTAAACATTATTAATATTAAAGAACAGAACACACTTATAAATACCCAGAGATTAAGATAGTCAAGTGTCAGTGACATAAATTATGGCACTTGGTTCAAAGATGTCGGGCCCATCGATCAGTTATGGATGGCCCAGGGTTCAATTCTGAACAATCAAGGGGTCAGTGATGTATAGCCAACTTTATCTGGTCAGCCAGAAGTCAACAAAAAAGTTTTCCTCCAGGACAGTGCGTGGTGTTTAAAAGATGTCGTTAATCAGCTCATAATACTTGTCAACATTAAACAAGCTTAGCTCATTTTGTTGGGGAGGATTTAAGTGGGGGGAGGGGGGGGGGGGAACTGCACTATTTAATCATAAAAGAACAAAATTCAACAGGTACATTTCATGTATGGAAAGGCTTGTGTACATCAACTGAAGATTAATGAGCTCTCATACAGGATGTGCAATTTTGTTGGGGAGGATTTAAGTGGGGGGAGGGGGGGGGGGGAACTGCACTTTTTAATCATAAAAGAACAAAATTCAACAGGTACATTTCATGTATGGAAAGGCTTGTGTACATCAACTGAAGATTAATGAGCTCTCATACAGGATGTGCTCTCTTCTTAAGACCTAGGTGCAGTTGACATAGCCCCACATAGCACCGATACTAAAAGGGTTATTGAATAATGTTAAAATGTCTCGGAAAGCCCTGTTCTTGCACTTGACATAGCACCACCAATACTAAACTGATTCTGTAATTAATGTTAAAAAATGTCTGAGGAAGCCCTCTGTGTTATAAAAGCTATTTTATTTAGTACTTAAATCATAATTTCAGTCAAGGAGCAGAAACTCTCATGTACTCCTCCCCTGTGCATAAATGACTTACAACAGAGAGAGGAAGAGTGACAACAGAAAATATAATAAGATGTGGAGAGATTTTCGTACTAAAACTTAAAATGGATTGTAAAAATGTGTTCATTTACTCTCTGACTCGGGCCAAAAAAGATCAGATCTCACATCTGCAATTCCCATCCCCTGGTCTATCGCCCTAATTAGTTGTCTTGTGCCCTGCAATGACCCTGAAATTTCCCACATTGTCTGAATTCTTTTGTGGTTTTTTTCCACTTTCAGCCGAGAGTTCATTTATCGTGGTGTCAATGTATACAGTTATCAGGGGTTTCGGGATGAGCCGTGTGGATGTTGATGAGGCCATGGTCCCTGTAGCTGGTACAGGTCAGTTCAGGTTTTCAAAGTTATAGGTCTATTTGGAAGTGTTTCTTTGCAAAATGAAAAATTTTGAAATAAGGCATGGGTCCAATCCAAAGCAGTACTTTAGAGGTGACTGGAGTCCAATCAGATGCAGTACTTAAGAGATGACTGAGATCATTTTGATTGGATCTTCCTCCTCTCCCTCGCTCCATTCTCACCCACCCCTTTTTTACTACTTTTATTTCATTAATTTTGGATAGGAGAATATAAAATAAAATGTAACAGAGGAAAATTTGTAAAGGAATGAAACAAAATTTGTTTGTCATCTGACAGTGCCATCATAAACTGGATAAAAACCAAACCATAAAACTATTTTTTTTAATTTAAATTACATTTTTAAACATTTAAATCACAATTTTTAAATTTTAAATCACATTTTTAAAAATAAAACTAATGAATTTTTTTGTGTGTAATCTCTTTATGCTGTATAAAAATTGGATATCCACAATTCTTCAAAGAACGGTCATTAAAACTATTCTTTTTTAAAATGGAATACCCTAGGTCGAGCAACCCTCGCCATCGATGTGTACATGGGAGCCAACTACATTTATTGGGTGGACTCCAGGCAGGTCACCCCCAGCACTAAGCAAGAAGTGGGCATTCACAGAATCAGACCTGACGGCACCGGTCTGCAGGACATCCTGACATCTGGGATAGGCTCACACAGCATTCAAGGGTTGGCCGTGGACTGGATTGCAGGTTTGACAATAAGAACTGAACAAGTCATTGGACATCTGGATCTGCTACACTCTAAAACAGTTATTTATGTTAATCAACCTCTGTAGCAGAATGGATTGTTTGATGATTGAACAAGTCATTGGATCTCTAGATCTGCTAAATTCTTAAACAGTTAATTAATCAGCCTCTGTAGCAGAATGGATTGTTTGATGAGTGAACAAGTTATCGGACATCTGGATCTGTTAGATCCTAAAAGCGGTTGTATAATTAACCTCAGAACTGTAACAATAAACAGACACAAGGGATGGGGCTAGTATCCTAAGAGTCTTGGGTTCAAATAATGCAAAACCAATGGCTCCTCCCCCCCCCCACCCCCCACCCCCCACATACACACACGCACGCAAGCACACACATTTCAGATAAACAAGGTTGGTGTTGGGTAATATTGTGAAATAATTGGTTTTGACCAACAAAAAATACAAGGGATGGGGCGAGTATCCTAAGAGTCTTGGGTTCAAATAATGCAACACCAATGGCTCCTCCCCCCCCCCACCCCCCACCCCCCACATACACACACGCACGCAAGCACACACATTTCAGATAAACAAGGTTGGTGTTGGGTATTATTGTGAAATAATTGGTTTTGACCAACAAAAAATAAAGTTAAATTTCTGCTCTTTCCTAATTGGTCAAATTGTCTATTTGAAAAAGTAAACTATAAATCAATTGACCAAAAGTACAAAGTAGCTAAGTTTTATGGAAAACTAAACACATTCGCTGGCTTCTTTTTATTAAAATGAAATCTCGTAGATATATATTTTTAAAAGCTTCTTGTTATATAACTCAGGTAACATCTACTTCTCCAACGCCTTTGATGTGGAAGTGTTTATTGAGGTCACCAGGCTGGATGGAACCTTCCGGAAAGTTTTAGTCAGGGAATCCCAGGGGCAGCCCAGATCTGTGGCAGTGAATCCCGTTAAAAGGTGCACTGAGATGGCACTTGTAACATTTTTGTATTATTTATACTTTTCAAATTTTTGTTTTTATAATGAAACAAATGTACCATTTAATGGCCTGAATTACCGTATTTACTGGCGTATAACACGCACTTTGTCTCCCTGAAAATAGGGGGCAAATGATGTGTGCGTGTTATACGCCGATATAATGTTAAGTTTTTTTTTCATGCAATTTCCTTCTTAAAATTGAGGTGCGTGTTATACGCCAATAAATACGGTATGTTTGTTTTTAATGTTGAAACAATATCATGTACAGGATAAACGATATCATGTACATGACATTACATTGGCACACCTTAAAGAGAATCCTAAAATGAGATGAACCTCAACTTTGAATGCATATTATGGTCAACTTAAATAGTTCAATTTTTTTTTTTTTAAACTCAGTATTTTGTCATCATTGCCAGTTGGCACCTTCTTGCTTTTATTCCATGCTCCTTGTGACAGGGAGCATAATGTTGTATCTGTGATGTTACCAGTTTCAAGCAGTCGCCAGAGAAGAATTTAGTAAATAAAATATCATTTTTGGAAACATAAAGACATTTATTAATGCTGTGCTGTTTGAAAAAATGTTTTTGAAATGATGTGTTTGGAATAATGTGTTTGGGAAATGGGTTTGGAATAATGCATTTGGAATAATGTGTTTGGAATAATGAGTTTGGAATAATGAGTTTGGAATAATCGGTTTGGAATAATGTTTTTGAAACAATGTTTGAGTAAATAAAGTATTTTTGTCTCTCAGATTTCTATACTGGGCAGATATGGGTCAAACTGCAAAGATTGAACGGTCACTGCTTGACGGAACCAACAGAACAGTCATTGTGAAGACTGGCATCAGTCTGCCGAGGGACATCACCATTGATATTGAGACTCATGATGTGTACTGGGTGGACGCCATAGTAGACAGCATACAGGTGACTTTTTTTTCCTAGACTCTGGTTTGTGTTAGAATAAGAGCATTAACAGTGATGCAGATTAACCTGCGGCTGCACTGTGGAAACCTACTCTAATCTACGGGGTCGCCCAAAAAATTTGATAACATCGCTTTATTGTCAGCAGCATAAAAAAGCCGCCAACGCTTATAATAAATCGTTGAGAAGCATGGAGAGTGGGGGGGACGACAAATCGAACATGTTTTCTGACTAGCTTAATAATTTTCCTACAACCGTCAATGACAAAACCCCATGAACTCAATGCTATAACTATAAGCCTTTTTTTACCAGATGTTCTCATCTCACTTTTTTCTGGGCACTCTGTACAGTAGATTTTTACAAGATTTTTATTTAGGTTGATCGGTAAGGTGCAAAAGTAAGAGGATAAGTGGGGGGAAGGGAGAAGAGACCTGGAAGCGTAATTGCATGGAATAGGGTAGATGGGTGTAAGTGTAAGGGGTCCAGGTGGTTTTAGAATTTAGGGAGTGGCGAGGTTGAGGGTGGTGTTGTTAAGAGGTAGATCTATTGGGGTGTGATGAGAGTCTCCAGGTTCGGGGGTGGGTTGCTTAAGGGAGAGAGGGTCGAATTTTTTTTTCAGTCCACACGATCAAATTTTGCGTCAAATTTCTTTTTGAACACATTATTTTGTTTTATTATATAGTGTAGTGTGTTCAAAGAGAAATTTGATGAAAATGTTCTATCAAACTTCCATCGATCAATTTCCCATCGACAAAATTTCTTTCAAAAAAATTTACTGTAACCTTTATAATTGTAGACCAAGTTAAATTATAAAACTGTAACTAATAGTCCGTGTGTCATAGAGTTTGTGTCTTCACCAACAGAGTGTTTCCTTCAATGGTGAGAACAGACGTTACATTCAGACCAACACGCCCAACCCATTTGGCCTGTCTGTGTTCAAGTCCTACGTTTACTGGGTGGACAGGAACTTGCAGAAGGTGAGTGTTGAGCTGACATAACTGACCGATGCCTCAGTTCAGTTTTAATGTAGAAGTAAATATCCGTACATTTCCAAGTAGGTGGCTCCTGGTTACAAGCTGCACTCTTACAGTTGTTTACATATTCCAGTGTTTTCATTATGATGCCGCAGGGGCTCTATATATATTTATATTTCCCATTTGTTATTTTCTAAGATGAAATATTTCCTTTCAGATATTCCGTGCCTTGAAGGCCTCACCTGGGTCAGCACCACAGGTCATCAAGAGTAACCTTGACATGCTGAGTGATATTGCCATCTACGACCAGGTCATGCAACCTCTGGGTGAGTCCACTTTTTAAAAATTTGGGGCCTGCAACTTGTGACCCTCCAGCAGACCTGTTTACCCTCAAACTCTTAAAATCGTACAATATCATTCAATACATTATCTTAATAGTAAAATATAAATATAAAGTATATACAGTGTATACACCTGAAAATCGTACATTGTACACTAAAATCGTAAGAGTTAACAGGTCTGCTCTATGTTGCAGAGTGGAACATATAAGAAAAATAAATCTCTGGATATAACTTAGAGGGTGAGCTCTAAATAATGGCACATGTCTATCAATGGCATAAAATGTTTGATCCATCATTGTGATTCAAATGTGAATTTTTTCAGACCTGTTAGGCTAGGCATGGTTTCTTAAGCATGGTTTGATATTAAATGAGATGTTACTTTGTGCTTCCTGGCTCATTCATTGTATTTTAAATGATTAAATTCAAATGGAATCGTTCTCTGAATCATAACCAGATGAGAGTAACCCCTGTTCTGCCAACAATGGAGACTGCCAACAGCTGTGCTTTGCCAAACCAAACCAGACAGAACCAGACTGCGGCTGCTCAACAGGAACTCTGGGAGATGATAAGAAAACCTGTCAGGGTAAGTTCATGCCTGCTTACATTTCATTGGCTGAAGAACATCCAATCCCTGCCTGGCCTAGTAAGTTGTTGCCTATTTGTCAATTGAATAAGATTTTATTTCTTAAATATTTGTGTAACAGACTATGTTTTCACAAGAAAACAGAGAGGTAGCATGCGTGAACAGTGAATTGTGTTGACCATGTTTTTCCACGAGAGAGAGAGAGAGTGGATTGTATTTTTGAGATGAAAATGTGAGCTCCACGTTTTTGGAGAGTAAATCATGTTTTTGGCGGAGCGGTCGTTTTCCACGCTTTGCTGGTAATAAAAGGGGCAGTTGATTGAGAGAGCTGAGCGCAGAGCAGTAGAGAGAGTAGAGCTGAGTTATTGTACAGTTGAGCTGAATTATAGCAGTGTGAGGACGTGTCTTTCTGAGTGGTGGAATACTATATATATATATATGTGAAATGATTACATTCATGCAAGGATTATTATTAATATTATCATTATCAGTGTAAAGTGTGATTCAATAAAGTACTGTAAGTTTAATTCAGTATCCTTCTTTGCGTGCCTGGATAATAAGTGGAAGAATGAAGAAGTCTTAGCCGGCATCCTGAAGTATTAACATAAAACAAGTGACCATGCTACTGACATAACCCACTAAGTTACAATGATGTCAGAGCATATGTGTTACAATTTGGAGTACACTTTAAAAAGTTTTAAAATCTAAATAAAATATAAGTTTTAATCTTTGACACTCATTGAGTTCAGCCCCTGTAAAAATGTTAAATCCACATAGAATGTGGAACTCAATGAATATCAAACAATTCAATAAGAGTTCACGCATGGTTCTTTCATCCAGCTCCATCCTCTTTCCTCCTGTTTGCTGCTGAGACAGAGATCCAGAGTCTGTCCTTGAACCCTGAGTCAACCTCTAACCCCATACCTACAATATCGGAATTACAGGTGAGTTGTGAGATACCGATGGTTTTCTGTGCAATACGTCCATGCTCTGCAATCAATGGACATTCATTCAAATGAACACGGCCAACGGCCAACATCTTTTTTACAAGGACCAAGTTAACCTAAAGTCTTTTACATTTTGTTGAATATTTTTAGTGTGGAAACGATTTAGCTCCAGGAAGATCCTTATTAGATTAATGAGACACAATTTCTGTAAATAAATAGGTTCAGCTTAATAAGGATTATACAGAATATAAATGTAAACCGTTTGACACATTCCTTCATCAGTAAAAACCATTCATATAAGTATAAATTAAATTGACATTAATATATACATATATAAATAAAATATATATATATTTTTTTAAATTTATATATATTTTTTTAAATTTATATATATATATATATATATATATATATATATATATATATATATATATATATATATATATATATATANTACATACATACACACACACACATATATATGAATATATATATATATATATATATATATATATATATATATATATACACACATATAAATAAATAAATAAATATATATATATATATACACATATAAATAAATAAATAAATATATATATATATATCTACATGTTTCCTGCCTAAAAAGAATAGAAAAGAATGAGAGTGGGTGCAAGTCCCAGACACAACAAGGAAGTGGGTGGAATTTAAATTTAAAAAAAAAATAGGAAAAAGACATTGTGGGAAGATAAAAGAAACATCTTGACTCAAAGTCAAAATGTAAGATAGGAAGGTCATGGCCATCCCATTAAACCATACTTTATTTATTTATTTTTTAGCTATTATCACATTAAATTTGGCCAGATTATCAATAAATGAATTTATGGGTTTTAACTGGCATTTGAATAAGTTTTCCCTCTCTCATCCCAGGGAGCAGTGGCCATTGATTATGATGCTCATGAGAACTACATCTACTTCAGCCAAGTCAACTCTAAGAAGATCAGCCGGGTCAAGAAAGGCTCCACCGTTGTGGAAGATCTGATGTCTCCAAGCATGAATACAAGTGAGGGGGATAGTCGACCTGTTTTGTAATGAAGTATTATCTGTATTCAGTTTGAGGGGTGGTATTGGTGCTTCACAGAGTTGTGGTATTGGTGAACCACAGCGTGGTGGTATTGGTGATCCGCAGAGAGGCAGTATTGGTGAACCACATAGTGGTGGTATTGGTGAACCGCAGCGTGGTGGTATTGGTGAACCGCAGCGTGGTGGTATTGGTGATCCGCAGAGAGGCAGTATTGGTGAACCACATAGTGGTGGTATTGGTGAACCGCAGCGTGGTGGTACAGGTGAACAACATCATGGTGTATTGGTGAACCACAGCATGGTGGTATTGGTGAACCGCAGAGTGGTGGTATTGGTGAACCTCAGAGTGGTGGTATTGGTAAACCACAGCATGGTGGTATTGGTGAACCGCAGCGTGGTGGTATTGGTGAACCGCAGCGTGGTGGTATTGGTGATCCACAGAGTGGCAGCATTGATGATCCACACAGCAGAAAACAAGAAACTCTTTGCCCAATCCCCCCAAATGTCCAATCCTTGTAGTTTCCTACCTCAAAGCTGAGACTCATTTAGTCGGATAGTTGAAATGGCCATCTGATGTCTCCTCATTCGACCCCATTTTGTGGGACAAATAAGCTGGCTGCTCACATGTAAGATAAGACTAATGTGGGATCCAAGGATCTCTTCCGGCAGCCTCATGGTAGAAGAGACTTGAATGATCATGAAGACGGATCAGCTTGCAGAACAACCCAACATAATGGGTGTCCTTAAGATGGATTTGCTGGGGAATTTTGCCCCAAATCAGTGATATTTTAAATACATTTCTATGGCTCCTATATAAAACTTTTCATAAGGACTGATTCATAAGGACTGAAATAACAATAAAAATTTTAAATCAGTTAAGCCAGAATGTTCTATGTGAAACTTGACCTTTCAGCTCCGGGATACGTCCATGATGTTACCTCGGTTGAGGGAATCGCCTTCGACTGGGTCGGCAAGAAGCTCTACTGGGCCGATCTGTTCAGGAATCGTATCTACAGCATCAATGTCAACCTGACCTACAAAGTTGTCATTGCTACAGTTCAGAGTCCAAGGGCCCTGGCCATTGACCCCTGTAAAGGGTGAGTGGTCATCTTTGCTGAATCAAGGGCTCATTTTGTGAAGGGGAGGGCAGTTAGCTATAGGCTCATGTATTCTTTGATGACATTATGCATGCCCCTGATTGTTATCCCAAAGCCTGTATTCATCTTCATGTTTTTATTATCTGAACTCAGGTACATCTACTGGTCAGATTGGGGCCACACTCCCAAGATAGAGAGGGCAACCATGGCTGGAAACCAGAGACAGGCCATTGTGTCCACCGATCTAGGTTGGCCTAATGGGCTGACAGTGGATTATGAAGAGGAAAAGATTTACTGGGCAGATGCACAAAAGTAAGTTTAGCTGTCCTAGACCACTGGTGCTCTAAACCTGGACATTCCAGGATGGGTAGCACAAGTTCTAAACCTGGACATTCCAGATTTGAAGGCATGAGTGCTAAACCTGGACATTCCAGGAAGGTTGGCATGGGTGTTAAACCTGGACATTCCAGGAAGGTTGGCATGGGTGCTAAACCTAGACATTCCAGGAGGTGTGGCACAAGCTCTAAACCTGGACATTCCAGGAGGTGTGGCACAAGCTCTAAACCTGGACATTCCAGGTTGGATGGCACAAGCTCTAAACCTGGACATTCCAGGATGGGTGACACAAGCTCTAAACCTGGACATTCCAGGATGGGTGGCACAAGCTCTAAACCTGGACATTCCAGGATGGGTGACACAAGCTAACCTGGACATTCCATGAAGGGTGGGTCGCAATCTCTAAACCTGGACATTCCAGAATGGATGACACGAGATCTAAACCTGGACATTCGAAGATGGGTGGCACAAGCTCTAAACCTGGACATTCCAGGATGGGTGGCACAAGCTCTAAACCTGGACATTCCAGGATGGGTGGTACAAGCTCTAAACCTGGACATTCCAGGATGGGTGGCACAAGCTCTAAACCTGGACATTCCAGGATGGGTGGCACAAGCTCTAAACCTGGACATTCCAGGATGGGTGGCACAAGCTCTAAACCTGGACATTCCAGGTTGGGTGGCACAAGCTCTACAACACTATTTGGAATACACAACACTTTGAGAAATGTTTGAGAAAAATCAGAGATTTTTATATAATTTGTTCCATTTTTTAAATTAAACTTTTTGCAAAAGCATGTAAATTTAGCACTGGTTTTTTTAGGGTGTCTAAAAAGTTTAAAAGATTCATTCGACAAGATGCTTGTTATAAAATTTATTTTCCATTACTACACATTACATTTTTAAAAAAAACAAATTGCAGTAACTTCCCTTGGAATCTTTTCCTTTTTACAGAGATCGCATAGAGAGGTCAAGCCTGGATGGTAACTACAGGGAGGTCATAGTTGAGACCACCGTCCACCCCTTCTCTCTCACAGTGTTCGGCTTCTACATATACTGGACCGACTGGACGCTGCGGGGCATCTACAGGGCAGAGAAGCACACTGGGGCCAACATGAAAATGCTGGTGCAAGGCTTGTCCACGCGTCCTATGGGTGTGACCATCTACTCCCAGGAGAAGCAGAAATGTAAGCAAGTCAGATTGGTTACATCCATCAGGATTTTTTTTTGTAGAATCAGAAGAAGACAAAAATCTGACATCAAGTATGACATAAGATCTGACATCAGCTCTATCATCAGGTCTGACATCAGGGCTGACAACTGACATAAGATCTGACATTTTGATACTCATAACAGGAAAAATAAGATCACTAATGATTCAGAAATTTAATTTTAATCTGCCAAATGTTTACCTGTTCAGACCAGCCAAAGTAGTAGGATTCAGACATTGCAGGTCTGAACAGTGAGATTCACACACTGCAGGTCTGAACATGGAGATTCACACACTGCAGGTCTGAACATGGAGATTCAGACATTGCAGGTCTGAACAATAAGATTCAGACATTGCAGGTCTAAAGTGTGAGATTCACACACTGCATATCCGAACATGGCGAGTCAGACATCTGAACATCAGATGGTTCATGGGAATCAAATCAGCTGTTTGAAATTTGTATCAGCTGTTTGAGCATGATTTTTTTTGTTAATTACTTACCAGACATCAACCTACACAACATTTACGGAACAACAATTTCAATGACTTACATAAACAAGCCTCAATGTGAAAATACTCAAAAAGAACAATTTTGAAGAGAACTAAAGCAATCTCAGCATTCCTGAAACTTTGGATTGTTATCCAGGCAGCAAAAACCCTTGCAGTGTTTTCATGTATTAATCATTGTATTGTTATCCAGGCAGCAAAAACCCTTGCAGTGTTTTCATGTATTAATCATTGTATTGTTATCCAGGCAGCAACAACCCTTGCAGTGTTTTCATGTATTAATCATTGTATTGTTATCCAGGCAGCAAAAACCCTTCCAGTGTTTTCATGTATTAATCATTGTATTGTTATCCAGGCAGCAAAAACCCTTCCATTGTTTCCATGTATTAATCATTGTATTGTTATCCAGGCAGCAACAACCCTTGCAGTGTTTTCAATGGAGGTTGCAGCCACAGCTGTCACCCAGGCCCAGAGGGCAAAGTTGAATGCACCTGTGTGGAGGGCATGGGTCTTGTCATCGGCAACAACGGAAAGGTTTGCTCGACTTAACTCTTTAGGCGCTAGTGAAAAAAAGAAGTAAAGAAAAGGGTACCCCATTATTTCTGTATGCTACTAGTTAAAAATCTAATGAGAATAGTTTAATATTGCTTGTTAAAGCTGTCACAAGGATAGTTCCATTGGTCAAATAAGAGCAATTTTCTTGATTACCTGTCATGCAAAAGTTTTTTTAATAGTTTTTTCCTAAATATAGATGTACACTATGTGAACCTTCCTGATTATATCGTGTTCAGCAGCATCCATAAATTAAACTTCTTCATTTTTAAAGAATTGTAATTTAATAATCCTAGGTGTGCATTCCAAGTAACAATACATGTTTGCCAGACCAGTTCGTGTGTCAGAATGGAAGGTGCCTCAGGGAAAGGTGGGTCTGTGACCTTGACAATGACTGCGGGGATGGGTCGGATGAGGATCCAAACCTGTGCGGTAAGTGTTAAGGAAACTTCCATTAAAAAAAAAAGAGAGAAAAAAAATTGAAATCACATTTGAGTAAATTACAGGTAGCAAAAGACAGGCAGCATTAGGAATGTATAGGAAGAAAGACAGGTAGCAAAAGACAGGCAGCGTTAGGAATGTATAGGCAGAAATACAGGTAGCAAAAGACAGGCAGCGTTAGGAATGTATAGGCAGAAATACAGGTAGCAAAAGACAGGTTGCATTAGTAATGTATAGGCAGTTTAACAATAATGTTTAAAAAAAATATGGTATTTTATTAGAAATTGTGCCCACTCACGACATTTGTAGCAAAAAGAAACACGCGTTTGATCATCTGGTCTCATGGTTTCCTTCGCCTTTCAGCTCTCCACACATGTGATCCAAAGTACTTCAGTTGTAAGAATGGCAGGTGCATCCCACTGAGGTACAGGTGTGATTTCGATAATGACTGCAGGGATAACTCAGATGAAGAGGCTTGTGGTAAGTGGTCAATAATCCTCAGTTGGTCAATTAATCTCGGTGGGTGAATAATCCTCTGTTAGTTAATAATCCTCTGTTTGTGAGCGACCCTCTCCATCCTTGTTTATCTCTATTTGTATGATGTAAATTAGTTACAATTCATGAAACGCTTGCAAATCTGGGATATTTTGGCAGCTCTGTGGCCAGAATTTGTATAAAGAGAAAATATTTTCTCAGAGTTAAAACAAGAAATACTCTTAGAAACTTAAATACTCTGTAACAAATGGTGAATCCCCTGATTGCACAATAGTAAACTTAAATCATCAGGTAACCTTGCAGTCCTGACATCTTTATAAATATGACAGTTGATGTTACTAGTGTAACTCTGTGTACTCGAAAACCTATGTCTCACTCATATTACATACATCAGCAGAAGTCCAATTTCAACACATCATTTACATATTAACAAATTAAACTATATAGAATCAATTTCACATATATATATATAAGAATGAGCTAGGTTGACCGTAACGCCAAAGAACTGAAAAGATTTAATACTTTCTGATTCTTAAAATCGATCATAGTTATTTTATATTATTTTACGGAAATGGAATAAATTTAAGTGCACAAAAAATATTATATATTCGCTTTTATTTTATTAAAAGTTTAAGTATTATTATTATAAATTACAAATACATTTAAACTAATAACTAAGGAACTATCCTAAGCATTTTATATGCGTTTGAAAGTTATGAAAAAAATTAAATAACAAAATTATGATCAAAGAATTACGCCATAATCACATTTATCAGGAAAACCCAAACATCTGTTGTTTTTAGTGTTTTTTTTTAGTGCGTTGTAAATATTGCAAAATAAAAATAAAATTAATTTGTTTTAAATAAACAAGCACATGATGTCATAGCGAGAATGGCCTATTTTAGCCAAAACTCTTAAGTTTCTTTGATTTAATAACAGCGCATTACAAAACTGATAATGTATTTTCCCCTTAAAAGTAAAATTAAAAAATATAATTGATTGCTTTTTAAATTGTTAATAAAACACACACAAATTTTAGCTTTGTATTTTAATATTTAATAAGTTGTTACTTTTTTAAATTCCAAAAATATACTTTTATTAAATTTATAACGTAATAAAAACTTACCACCTTTAAATATACTTCTAATAAGAAAATGATGTTTAAGTCAATGAGTGCAGTGAAACCCCATAGCCAAATAGCATTCACTAAGTCACTGATAACTCATCCAAATAACAAACTATATGAAGTGCAGAATATGTTAGTTTGGGTATGGAAGGGACTGCAGTCCTGTTTAAGATTTTATCAATTTTATTTAAATCGGGTGGGGAGGGGGGGGAGGGGTGTTCATATTCATTTTGCCCCAGGCATCACAAGATACTACTCAAAATAATGGAATATATTTGATAAATAATTAACCTTCTTGGGTACATACATATTGAAGGTAGGAAATATGATGCGTACATTTTTACATGGATGGCAAGATATCTAAATCCTATGTTATTACATTTGTGAAAATTGTGTTAAGAAAATGTGGGTGCATTTAGATAAGTATGCCCATGATTAACAAAACCAACTCATTTCACACACTTAAATATTTAATTTTGAAAAATGGAGATGGGTTAATATTTTCTTTTAAAAAAATGAAAATATATTTTTGTTTTTACTTTGCGAAAATTTTTTTAAAAAAGGGACTCAAGTCTGTTATAGACGTGAAAAACGGTTGCGAGATTCTTCTTTAGATAAATAATTCTTTGCTTAAACGATTTTCTGATAATGTATAATTGAAAAAAACAAGGCAAAAGTTTGTTTAAACTCTTGATGAAGATATCCATATGTTAAATTCCCTTAATATAAAATATATTTATATCATATATAGAGTTATTGTTGTAAATTTAAGATTATGTTTTTACAATGTTTAGAGAAAAAAAAATGTTGTAGTTCAAGGGCACGAAAAGAGGTAAATCTAAAGTATTTCTCTAGCGTAGAAATTGTCCCTCAATTAACTTCTTTAGTGACAAAGTGTGTGGTAAAATTAGTGGTAATTTAAGGAAATGTTTAGAGGGACAAATGTAGTTTAGGTGCGTGAAAGGGAGTATGTTAGGTGTATAATATATATCAGATAAAATACTTCTCAAAACTTGATGATGCTAGAAACGGAAATATCATTACATAGATACTTCTTTTTAAAGTTAGGAATTGTGATGAGTTTTTGCAATAGCAGGTAGAAATTATTGCAAACAGCGTACCATTATTATTCTAATCACATCGGGTCATTTATTCTAGTTGATGAATAATAGAATAATGATTGATTGAATTATAGTCACAATATTTCCAATGCCTTTAGAAAAATACCATTCGATCAACTGCCACCTTGAAATCCATTACATTATGTCCTCTCTTCCAGTTCCGCCCTATCTACATTTAGATCCATGTATTCTTACTCTAAATACGAAATAGTGCTTTTTGTCAAATGTTAATGTACATCAAATATCGTTACTGTACATTCACGTTTTGAATCTTAAATTGTGTTGGAATCATTTTTAACTAGATACTATGCACGACCGGGAAACACCCCCCCCCCCCCCTTTCCTTCATTCAGTTAAAAATCTATAAAACAGATTTACATTCACGTTTTAAAACTTAAATTGTGTTGGAATCATTTTTAAATAAATACTATGCCCGACCGGGAAACCCCCCCCCCCCCCCTTTCCTTCATTCAGTTAAAAATCTATAAAACAGTTAACAGTCATTCATGTGGAGATTTGTTTTCAGACTACCCTACCTGCGGCCCAGACCAGTTCACATGCAACAACTACAGATGTATCGACACAGCACAGAAGTGTAATGGTATTGATAACTGCAGAGATGGCAACAGGACAGATGAGCTCAACTGTCGTAAGTTTTCAATGTTTCACAACCAATCCTGCACATCAAACCAGAGATAAAACTAGTTTGTGCAGAAGAATTATCAAGTCAAAGTTTTCAGAACACGGAGCTCCTATTATTTCCATTGACTTTATCACTGACATTAAATTGAGTTAGTGCCCCTACCGCTTGATTTGAAGACCAGTAACCAGTTTTTAAACCATGTTTCAGCTCCGAGGACGTGTCCACCGAACCAAGTGAAATGCCCCACGACCAACATCTGCATCATCCGCCGCTACATGTGCGACGGCGACAACGACTGCGGTGACAACAGTGACGAGAACCCTTTCTTCTGTCACCTGGTCTCCTGCGCCCCAGGTGAGAATGGTTATCTCTCATCTGATTGGTCCATCCTCTCGACGGCCATATTGAGGAAGCCTCCCAACACAGGCGTTGTCTCCAGCCCTGCACCACACTAACCATGTAATATGATCTCCATTCTTCTGTGCACAGTTTAATTTAATGCACCCAAATACCATCGCTAACAAATCAAGGAATACGAAACAAAAAAGCAAAACACACGGTCAAGAAACAAATTATTACTGTCATTAAAATTTTAATTGGCATCAGCTTGTTGATTAACCTTGAATTATAAACATTAAAAAAAAAAATTCTCTTATATTATTTTGCTTGTGGTGTGACTGCTTCCATTTCCAGATAGCGCGCAAAATATAATTCCCCTTAACTACTCTAAATTATTATATTTTTTTTTAAATACATGTGCCTAATATTTTCTTTTCTGAAAATGAAATTGTCTCAGTTTAAATATGGTGTGATAAATATTCGGTTTAAAAGTGGTTGGGACATCAGAATATTAAGATATCTCATGGGAATCAAATGAAAGGTGTGCAGTGACGTATCATGGGGAAAGGGTGTAGCGAAAATTGGGATTCTTAAATGTGCGTTACTTGAGTTCATGTTTTGTCAAGTAACTTCAGTAGATGGGAAGTTCATGCATTGCTGTTGCCAATGTTTGGTGAGCTATGTATGACTAGTATGTATTAATGACATAATAGAGTTTGATAAAGTACACACACCTTTCTATGATGTCATTGAAATATTGTGCACTGCTGTTTATTCATGAAATTTGTCTGCTCATTTTCTCCCCCCCCCCTCCCCACCCCAGGCTTTCAGCCAAAATTATCAGCTTTCAAATTTCATCCTTATATAGACTTTGCTGTCACTGGTTTCTCCCTGCTCATCCCATTCTTTTTCTTGCTATTGACAGCTGTCATGCACATTACATGATGTTCCACTTAGATACACATTTAGGAATCGGTCACATGCTATTATCTGAATTTCTGTTCAGGTGACTTCCAGTGCTCCCAGAGCCACAAGTGCATCCCAGGGACCTGGCAGTGTGATGGTGACGATGACTGCGGATTTGGAGAGGATGAGACACCAGCCACTTGTTGTGAGTAGATGGTGGGGGGGGGGGCATGTCTAGCCAATAGAGCTCCCAGAAAAGTCCTTGTTTTAAGCATTTATAGCATCAATAGTAATTTGACGTGCCGATCAACTATTATTTTGTCACATGTGGCATTCTGCACCTCTGTTGGTGTCGGTCACCTGCCAACCAGAGCTGGCACATTTTTCAGAAATGTTCATACCAGCTGTAGGTGAATTAATATTGGGAATGACTTCTAAGTTGTACATTTGGTTCTTATTCCATAAAATGGTTTGAAATTGTTCTAAGTTGGGGTATTCATCGTGGCCGCTTTTTTTGCCCACAGCCTCATTTAACCGCACCTGTCAGCCTGACCAGTTCGGCTGTGACAGTGGCCGATGTGTGTCTCTGCGCTGGGTCTGTGATGGGGAGGATGACTGTGGAGACAACTCAGACGAGTCAGATGCAAGAAACTGCAGTAAGTCACGACTATTTCATAGTGACCTACCCCCCCACCCTGGAAGTACATATTTGCCATGGCATTTTAAATGTCTACCCATAATGTTTTAAAGATGGGCTGTTTGTGTGTGGGATAGCATTGCCTCTGTTTGTGTGTGGGATAGATTTGCCCATGTTTGTTTAGTGGATAACATTGCCTCTGTTTGTGTAGTGGATAACATTGCCTCTTTTTGTGTAGGGGATAACATTGCCTGTTTTTGTGGTGGATAACATTGCCTCTGTTTGTGTAGTGGATAACATTGTCTCTGTTTTTGTGGTAATAACATTGCCTTTGTTTGTGTAGTGGATAACATTGCCTCTGTGTAATGGATAACATTGCCGCTGTCTGTGTAGTGGATAACATTGCCTCTAATTTGTGTGGTGCATAACATTTCCTCTGTTTTTGTAGTGGATAACATTGCTTCTAATTTGTGTAGTTGATAAAATTTCCTCTTGATAGTCTTCAAAGACTTAAGCAAATAGTTGTTTTATCATGTGTTGGTGTTCAGTGTGAAGGATGACAGATGCTTTGTCCAGCACATGCTTAAATTCAAGACACAAGGTGTCTTTACTTTCTGTCCAGCAGATGATATTTCCTAATGTCCAATATGGGTCAGGCCGCATCCGGAAATTTTTTTGAAAGAAAATGGAAAATTGATCCACGGAAACTTGATCAAACTGAAATTTGGTCGAACATTTTTTTCAGTTCACACGTTAAAATTTTTCGTCAAATTTTCTTTTGGACGCATTATTTTGTTTTACTAAATAGTACAGTGTGTTCAAAAAGACATTTGTCGAAAATTTTAACGTGAACTTAAAAAAAATTTCCGTTTTATCAAATTTCCGTCTTATTAATTTTCCGTTTACAAAATTTCTTTCAAACAAATTTCCTGAAACTGGTTCAGGCAAATATCTGTGCATCATGAGTTTAATCCTTTATGTGTTTATATGAAATCTTTCTTCTTCTTCTATGTATTAAGGGCCCACGATAAATTTATTGATCATTTTGGCTCCTATGCATGTAGAGGGGATTTGCAATGTTTCTGTGCCTGGTGTTGATGAGGACATTTCACTGATTTCCAGTGCCACTTTGTGAGGGAATCATGCACTGGGGGTTTGAAGGCTCGAGGCAATAGACACAAATGTGTGTAGTGTTACTTTATAGTCCATATTGAAGTAAATGATAACTCACTCAACTATAGCAACTGACAGGAGATGGCAATGTTGTAAAGATAAGAATAGAACGCATGTTTAAATGGGGTTCCTAGCACACATTGAATATGCTTTGTTTTCCAATGTTCCAGACTGCAGTTGTGAATCCTATTTTTCAGATGATCGCACATGCCCCCCTGACACCTTCACCTGCGAGTCCAACAAGCAGCATGGCACTTATCCTTGCATCTCCATGTCTCGAGTCTGTGATGGTGTACGTAACTGTCGCAATGGGGAGGATGAGATGCAGACGTGTCCCCCTCGCACTTGCATGAGCCACCAGTTCCAGGTAAATTGATAACAGAGATTTATTTGTATGAGGTCCAAATATGAATGAAACACAACACTGTCGGGTAATAAGGGCTTGTTGCATCAGATCCAACCATAAATAATATAGGACACTATCAGGTAATAAGGGTAATAAGGGGAGAGACTGCAATCAGGTTAGCACAATATAAAATGAGTGATTGAACATCAGATTCAACTCGGGTAATAAGGGCTTGTTATATCAGGTCTTACCATGAATGATAAACAACATTATTTTCATTAGTTGATATGCATTGAACGCGACATTACACATTTTTTTTCTCCTCTGAAGAATAGAACATAATTTCAGCTATACATATGCAGAGCCATCATGTGCGTCCTGTAACCCCTGTGGCTGCTGCGGAAAGGAGGGGGGGGGGGGGGCNAGCTTGTTTTAGATCCAGCCTCTGGCAACTGAAAGCTTGTTTTAGATCCAGCCTCTGGCAACTGAAAGCTTGTTTTAGATCCAGCCTCTGGCAACTGAAAGCTTGTTTTAGATCCAGCCTCTGGCAACTGAAAGCTTGTTTTAGATCCAGCCTCTGGCAACTGAAAGCTTGTTTTAGATCCAGCCTCTGGCAACTGAAAGCTTGTTTTAGATCCAGCCTCTGGCAACTGAAAGCTTGTTTTAGATCCAGCCTCTGGCAACTGAAAGCTTGTTTTAGATCCAGCCTCTGGCAACTGAAAGCTTGTTTTAGATCCAGCCTCTGGCAACTGAAAGCTTGTTTTAGATCCAGCCTCTGGCAACTGAAAGCTTGTTTTAGATCCAACCTCTGGCAACTTGACATTCTGATGACAATGTTTGTTACTTCTCATCTGTTTTCTAGTGCACCAATGGAATCTGCATCTCTACAAGGTTTAAATGTGACCATGACAATGACTGTGGGGATTCATCAGATGAGCCCAGCGACTGCAGTAAGTATTTTAAGACATGTTCAGTGGTTCTTAAGCGTATCATATGAGCCTGGTGACTGCAGTAAGTATTTTAAGACATTTCAGTGGTTCTTAAAGCTTTTCGGATGAGCCCGGTGACTAAGTATTTTAAGGCATGTTTTTGAGGCTATCAGATGAGCGACAGCAGTATTCTATAACACATTGAGTTGTTATTAAGTTTTTGTGGATTTATCAGCCCAGTGAGCACAAGGGTTCTCACATACGACACATTATATAACATTGTGATGAGCCCCCACAATTATTTAGCCCAATGAATGCACCCAAGATTAAAGGTTGAGTTCAGATTTTATTACTGAACTTAATCAATACAAGAACGTAGGAACAATTTTGGATGGCCAGAGGCTAACTAATCTATTTCTAGATTAAGTCAACACAAGCACTGAATGACCACTGTCTTAGCTAGTTTATAGTTAGAAAATGTCTATGGGGTCACAAATCAGGAGATAGGGAGAAACACCTGCACTGTCAAATGTGGATTGTTCTTATTCAGTTCAGTGTCCAGGCATGCACAGTGGATAGTAGGTGGGCAAAAATGATCTGGTTTGTTGCGCTTGGTTTTTCCCATCCAGACACTTAGCAAATGGGAAAGCCATGTGAACTGAGAGATTAAGCAGATGGGCAAGGGATAAATTAGGGGCAAAGGTTAAGGAGATAGAGACTGGAAGATAAGGGGGGAAGGTTAGCAGAACGGTCGGAGAGCTTATTTCAGGGCTGAGTCGGAAAGCTTAGTCAAGGGCTGAGTCGGAGAGATTAGTGGGAGAACAGGGCAGAGCTTATTTCAGGGCTGAGTTGGAGAGATTAGTCAAAGGCTGAGTCAGAGAGATTAGTGAGACAACAGGGAAGAGCTTAGTTTAGGGTTGAGTCGGAGAGATTAGTAAGAGAGCAGGGCAGAGCTTAGTCTAGGGCTGAGTCGGAGAGCTTAGTGAGAGAACAGGGCAGAGCTTAATCTAGGGCTGAGTCGGAGAGCTTAGGGAGAGAACAGGGCAGAGCTTAGTCTAGGGCTGTGTCAGAGAGACAATAGTTAAAGACGGAGCTGTGGACCTACCGGACAGTGAGACAAGCGGGGACAATCATAGGTGTGTTCAAGAGACATGCTAGTGAAAATTTTTAGCAGAGAAAAAAGATAAAGGCCAGAACCATCTATGTGCTGCTGCCTGATCGTTGTGATATGAGTGACAGTGACAGCAAGTGTTATGATCCATTGTTGCAGTACAAGTGGCATTGGAAGCAAGTGTTATCATCCATTTTGGCATTACAAATGACAGTGGCAGCAAGTGTTATCATGCAACAAAATATTAGAAAGTGGAACAAGATTCTATAACAAGGTTCTCTTCAATATATAGTTCCTTTTTTTAGAATTACCATTTCCTCTGTTAAATGTATCACCAGATTACCGCAGCTGCAGCTCAGAGCAGCTGACATGTGACAACCTCCGCTGTGTCCCTAAATCCTGGGGCTGCGATGGTGACAACGACTGCGGTGATGGATCTGATGAAAAGGAGGCAACTTGCTGTAAGTTATTCCTCATATTTTTGTTTTTTACAGCCAGTATCGGTGTGATCAATTATGCACAGCTTACTTAGATGAATAGAACATAAAGTGGGTATGTCACATAGTAGGTTTAAGGCTTTAACTCTAAGACAAAATTTAAAATGTGTACATTGTCATTAGCTATAATATTTGACCTTCAATATTTTTTTTGGTTTTATTACTTGAATGAATCAAGGATTTCTGTCGTGTGGTGTGCTGAAATAGACTTGGAGACAAGCAACTGGAATAGATTAAAGGATCTTTTTACACAGCTGGACGTAGTGTGAATATTCACTCTTGTCCACTTAGTGAATATAAAATATTGAAGGGTGGAATCATATTATTAACTCTCATATTTTGAAAATGACAGGTAAATGAAGTGCGGCACCCCACCTATTCAGTCCGAAATTAGTTTTTCTTTGTCGCCTTACGCTATTCTTCTCAATCCTGCTCAGTGACCCCGGAGCCGACGTGTCCAGGCAATCAGTTCCGCTGTGAGAACGGTCAGTGCATTCCCTATGAGAGTGTCTGCAACAAGACCACCGAGTGTACAGATGAATCAGATGAACAGCACTGCAGTAAGTTGTCATTTTTATTTCCACTGTAACCCTAGTTCCTTTTTAAAGGTACCTTCACATTGGAGGATTTGTTGCAGCCAAAAATCTCAGTGGTGAATCCATGTTGAGAATCCATGACCAAGGGCTTCACACTGGGAAGGCACAATTATGGCATCTGATGCAGAACTTTTGTTTATTTTTATTAACCTTAAAAGGCCCCCTTGTCACATGTGACAATCCATTAGAGCCTATTGTGGGCTTCTATGGGTTAATTTAAAATTTATCTGCCAGTGCAATGGTCAGCAACCTGAAAGAAAACAGTAAAAAATTTGTTAGTCTTAAACAATGAGTTTTTTTGCTTGTTTTGTGTGTGTGTGTGGTTTTGTTTTGTGTGGGGGGTGGGACGCGGAGAGATTGTGTTAACAAAGTTTGACATCCATATAAAATTGCTCTTTTATTACATTTTTTTCTCTCTGCTCTTCACAACTAACTAGCTTTGGATTCTATGACTTATTAATGATAACCAGAGCTGTTTTTTTTGTCAACATCAAATCTGCATACAATTTATTACCCAGAATCAGATACATGTATGCCTCTTCCATAAATAAATTCAAATCTTTCAGACTTGGAACTCTACAGTCCTGCTAGGTACATGGTTTATTTGCTGCATTCTTTCCTAACCTTTAGGACTCTGGTGGCCCTAGGTAGCAACAATTTCTGTGGGGTACCCCCTTGGGCCTCCTCGTGTCTTACAAGTTAATAATATTTAGGAGTTTTAGGAGTTTCCAGAAGTGGCAGCCGAGCCTCTGAGAAGTGCATTCAGAGCACAGATTGGCAACCACTGATGTACATATAAACTTAAATTGGATTGTTGTTATATACTAACCTATTTTACACCCTCTGTTCCCATCCCCCCCCCCCCCCCCCCCTTTTTCCCCCCCCCGTCCCCCCCCCCCCCCCCCCCCCCTGCTTGCTGCCACCACCAAAACCAATTTTCTACATCTCCAGACGTCAATGAGTGCCAGAGTTCCAGGGTCAACCAGTGCCAGCACAGGTGTGTCGACACGAAGACCAGCTTCAAGTGTGAATACCCTGCTTGCTGCCACCACCAAAACCAATTTTCTACATCTCCAGACGTCAATGAGTGCCAGAGTTCCAGGGTCAACCAGTGCCAGCACAGGTGTGTCGACACGAAGACCAGCTTCAAGTGTGAATGTAATCCTGGCTTCCAGCTCATGTCAGACAGGAAGGGGTGTCGAGGTAAATGGCTGCAGGGCTTGGTTGTAGGGGAGGGGCTGTTGAGGTAAATAGCTGCAGGGATTGTTTGTAGGGGAGGGGCTGTCGAGATAAATAGCTCCAGGGATTGGTTGTAGGGGAGGGGCTGCCGAGGTAAATAGCTGCAGGGATTGGTTGTAGGGGAGGGGCTGCCGAGGGAAATAGCTGCAGGGATTGGTTGAGGGGAGGGGCTGCCGAGGGAAATAGCTGCAGGGATTGGTTGAGGGGAGGGGCTGCCGAGGTAAATGAATAGTGGGACTGTTTGTATGGCAGGTGCCCTGGGAGGTAACCTGCTGTTGAGATTGGTTTCAACACTTGTATGCTTTTATGTTTTTAGAGATTAAATAAATAAGAGGTGTGTGTAAATTTTATGGGTGGCTGTAAACAATAATACTCTTCAAACATTTTGTATTTTATTCGGGTCGGGTTGTCAGGAAGGGGTAGCTCAATGAGAGACGGGTTGTGTCAGGAAGGGGTAGCTCAATAAGAGATGGGTCGGTTTGTCAGGAAGGGGTAACTCAAATAGAGATTGAAATTGTAAAACAATGGACTGGCCGGTTTCAGGTCTGTGTTATTGGACACAAGATTTGAATAATGAGCACTCCCCAGGCCGGTGAAACATAATGTACTGTTTGGTACACTTTTGATCTTAAGGACTGAGAGTCATAAAAATAATTCTAACCATTTGTAAAACTAATTTAAATTAAAAAAATGGAGTAGCACAATAAGAAGAAGAATGAATCCATTTCTTTCCAGACATTGATGAATGTGTTGAACAGATTGGAGTTTGCTCTCAGCAATGTGAGAACACCGAAGGCAGCTTTATCTGCAAATGTTCTGAGGGCTATCATAAGATGGAGGACGAGAAGACGTGCAAGAAGACGGATAGTGAGTATGAATTTGGTGGAAATCTGGCCAATTGAACTTTTTTTTTACATTCTGTCATTTTACAGAAATATAGGTCAAGTCTTGCGGTTAATAACATAATGTGTTAGCAGACTCTTTCTTTTTCATATGCAATTATTTACACAAAAACAAGCTAATACCAGTCCGGTAATCAACATCAAGTTGTAGGTTAGACAAAACTAAAAGAATTCTGTCTTAAAAAAGCCTCCATTTGTCAATATGCTGTTTCTTTACGTAAAAACGAATCTTTTCTTAATAATAAAGAAAAAGATCATGGGAAATAATTTTCAATTTTAAAAAACATTTTTTTTAATCTACCAGAAATCACCCCCTGGCTTATCTTCACTAACCGCTACTACCTGCGGGAAATCTCATTAGATGGAGACAACCATCGCCGAATAGCCCAGGGATTCGAGAACATTGTCTCCCTTGATTTTGACATCGCCAATGACCTGATCTACTTCACCGATGTGAAGCAGCACAAGATCTACAGTATATTCCTCAACGGCACCGGCCAGAAGGTTGTGGTCAAGGACAACGTGCCCAGCGTGGAAGGCATCTCTGTGGATTGGATTGCCAGGTAGTCATGACATTGATGTGCCAGTTTGTTTATCAAGGGCAGAGTGGAAAATGTTGACTGCTTCTAGTCCATTTTGAACGTTTTGAGGAAAAATGAGTTTTAAAATTGTGTTTGTCTAATTGTAATACCAAGTGTTTGCATTGATGAAAGTGTTGGACTGCAGCAAAGCTTTAAATTGTAATGCCAAGTGTTTGCATTGATGAAAGTGTTGGACTGCAGCAAAGCTTTAAATTGTAATACCAAGTGTTTGCATTGATGAAAGTGTTGGACTGCAGCAAAGCTTTAAATTGTAATACCAAGTGTTTGCATTGATGAAAGTGTTGGACTGCAGCAAAGCTTTAAATTGTAATGCCAAGTGTTTGCATTGATGAAAGTGTTGGACTGCAGCAAAGCTTTAAATTGTAATGCCAAGTGTTTGCATTGATGAAAGTGTTGGACTGCAGCAAAGCTTTAAATTGTAATGCCAAGTGTTTGCATTGATGAAAGTGTTGGACTGCAGCAAAGCTTTAAATTGTAATGCCAAGTGTTTGCATTGATGAAAGTGTTGGACTGCAGCAAAGCTTTAAATTGTAATGCCAAGTGTTTGCATTGATGAAAGTGTTGGACTGCAGCAAAGCTTTAAATTGTAATGCCAAGTGTTTGCATTGATGAAAGTGTTGGACTGCAATAAAGCTTTAAAGTAGATTAATTAGACACGAACAATTTGGTTTATCCTGTATGGAGTCAACGTACCAAATCTGGTTATTAATTTATTCTGCATGTAAGTCCTATCAGGTGTGTTACTAGTATACAGTATACCAGTAACTGCAATGTCTAAAATCCCATCATGGTTTGAGCTTTTGAAATACCAATTATTTGTATTTATGATTTAAATCTCTCTATTTCAATCTAGCAACTTACTTACCTACTTATGTCTTTTACCCTGTCTGGTGCATAGACTGTCTGCAAGAATTTTCCATTCATCTCAGTCCTGTGCTTTCCTTTCCAGTTGCTTCCATGTGTATCCCATATTTTGTGTGTCTGCCTCTAGCGCGCGTCTCCAAGTGTTCTTAGGCCTTCCTCTCTTTCTTTTTCCGTGTGGGTTCCTTATTAGGGATTTTGAAATGATGTTATCTGGGGATTTGTGGAGTGTGCTCTATCCACCTCCATTTTTTCCTTTTGATTTCTTCAGCAATTAGCTCCCTGTATGTTCTTTCCAGTAAGTCTTTGTTGGTTCCATCTAGCAAACATGAACACTATTTCCAGTAATGATGCTGGGGAAGTCATGAAATATATATGGCTGGTCTTAACTCATTGTTGAAGATTTGTAACCTAAGTACTAGTTCAACTAGGCCCTTTGCTTGCAGACAATGAAATCAAGATTTACACCTTCCACAATAGAATAAAATTTTAGGAATATTTGCTTAACTGGCCCGAGAGTTTTAAACGTGACCCCAGCTATGAGCAAGTAACAATGAGGGATGGATGCATCTCTCAAGCAAGGCGGCTGTACTTTGGCATGAGGTTTAAAAAAAAATGATCCGCCAAAGTGAGGAAAGAATAGTCAACATGAAGTGAGACCAAGAAATCTATCCCACTTGTAGGATAATGATAAAAATAGAATGACCTACTTGTTTTTAAGATGGAAAATGAGTTCAACCACTGCTTCAATTTGTGTTAAATTAACTTGACCACTGCTGGTCACTGGCAAGATGGTCCAGCTCCTGCAGTTGTTAAATAAAAATATAATTTAAAATATATTTTTTTTTAAATTTTAAATGTAAGCTTTCAAAATTAATTTGTGTTTGACCTACAGAAAACTTTACTGGGTTGATGGAAGGAGATCCACCATCGGTGTCTCTGAGATGAACGGGACGAGCCAGCTGACATTGCTTAAAGAAGGGATCAGGCGACCAAGAGCCATTTCTGTCCATCCCTTTAATGGGTAAATGCCACTTACCTGCTTTTCTAAAGACTTAAGTTTGTGTTAAATGTGACATAAAAATTTGGACTCACACTAATTTATTAGGGAAGCTTGTGGTTACAATTTTTATTTAACTTGATATATATTATTTTTTTTCTTCTCACAGTAACTATTTGGGCTGCACACCTCTGGCCAAATTGGTTGTTTTTGCACTCAGAATATAAATAGCAAGTTTAATAAATTCCATTATTTAAAAAAAATAATTTGATTGTGAGACCCAAAAAATAAATTAAACTTCCCACAAGAAAAGAATTTTTTTTTTTAAAGCAGAAAACCTTGATGACTTGTCATGTTTTTCATCTTACATATAAAGTCCCTCTCTGAACTAAGTGGCATTGGTGTCAGCCATCTTAATCTACCACTGGGAAATGGCATTTGGATTTTTGTACAAATCTCTTGCTCTCTATAGGGAATTAGGTTTAGACACACATGAATGAAATCCTGCATTCTTTCACTCCAAAGGTTTGTCTACTGGTCAGACTGGGGTAACCCACCTTACATTGGGCGCATGGGCCTCAACGGTCAGAACCTCTCCACTGATTTCATCACAGAGAAGCTGGGCTGGCCAAACGCACTGACCATTGACTTTGAGACTGACCGTCTCTGGTGGGCGGACGCACATTTAGATATCATTGAGTGAGTTGCTGTTGGTTCCGTGAACCAATCAAACTGCACCTTGTGCAGATAATACATGTCACCTAAAATATTCATTACGGCATCTTTTAAGAAATCTTATCTGGAATTATATGTTCTATTTATTTTAAACTGAAATGTAATGTTTTGATAAAAATTTATTTACTTTATTTTTGTTCAAAATGAAAATTACTAGCACATTTGTACTCCCAGAAAACAAAGAAGAAAGCAAACCTGATTTAACTAAAGGAAATGATATAATTACTCTGTCAGGGACACTGTCTGACTCTGACCTTTGAATCTCATTAAATAGGATCTCCAAATAATTTTTATTTTTTTAATTTGAAAAAAAAACAAACAACATGCACAGCACTTAGTGATACATATTTTAGTGAATAATTTGTGAGCTTTTTTTTTTTTCGTGTTGAAAAAACTACATTGTATATTTCAGATGATAAATATGTAGCCGAGTGGTGACGTAGCTTACAGTTAAAATAAAATCACAATAAAAAAATCAGGTCTGAGAACCATAGCTTTTTAATGTAAGGTACAATCCGTTGACAGAGCCGACAGGAAAATCTCTCACACCTGCCGCCGACCCGACGCACCTGTTCCACACCACAATCTAAAAAAATGTACACACTCCAAGTCCCAGTTCGCCCCCCCCCCCCCCCCCCCCCCCCCCCNTAAGGCCAGTACACAGCTGTGTGTTACTTTAAATGACCATGGATGTGTCCGTGCTTGGGGTTACCCATAGCAGTCACACTATGACTATGAGAGTGGATTCTCTTATTCCTATCTGTTCCATACTGCCGCATATAAAATGTTACCTAAAAGCAGTTGCAAATAGTGGCACATTGCCACAAATACAATGCATGAACTTCAAGAGTTCAAATGATGATTAGTTGTTTGTTTCTTTTTAAATAGATGAATATCAATTTTGTAAGAAATATTACTGATTTCAGTTTGCAAACACAATCAGTATCAAAACACAATCAGAATCAAAACACAATCAGAATCTGAGCAAAACTATTTACAGGTATGTCGGTCTGGACGGCAGCCACCGCCACATTGTGTTGGAAGGCGTGCCCCATCCATTTTCTATCTCGCTGTTCGAGGACTACATGTACTGGACGGACTGGAACCACCTGACCATTGAGAGGGCCAACAAGTTCACCGGTCAGAACCACAAGATTGTGTGGAACGTCACGCACAGGCCGATGGATGTCCACGTCTTCCATCCGCTCAAGCAGAAACCAGGTAAGTCGCCTGCATGAAAGTCATAGGCATCAAGTCATTGATGTGAATGAAAGCCATCTCCAGCAAGTGCACTCATACCATTGCTGCCATGGTAATCCGCCCTTGGTTGGGGGTCTCGGCACTTCGTTGCAGATTGTCTTTGTTAGAAGATTCTATGGGGCTGATGTAGGCATTTCCTCTGGAAAACTTTCGGCTTCTGATGTGATCTAACAGTGGTTCTCAACAATTCTGATCCATGCATAGTACTCAAGTTTGCCAGATATCATTATGAATATCAACATTCTAAATGCCTGATTGGCTTTCTGATACTTGCATTTTCTATTTAGTGTCACCATCTGTTGTGACCTTGCTTCCCAGGTAAGCAAACTCTGTTGCAGCTTCCAATGCCCTCATTCTGGAGCCTTCCAAAATCTTCCTCAAAATCCATGAAGACAAGGTACAGAGCTGAATTGAAATCTTTATCATTATCTCCCTTGCACTAACCTTGTAACTTCCCTTTTTTCTTATCCCAGGTGAAAACCCGTGCGGCCCTGGCAATGGCGGCTGCTCTCATCTGTGTCTCATCGCACCTGGGGGTCAGGACTTCACATGTGCATGCCCCGATTTCTTTGTCCTGAAAGCCGATAAGAAAACATGCGAGGCCAGGTGCTCTAACTCACAGTTCAGGTGATTAACCCACAGAACATTGTAACCAACGTGGCCCCCGAAATCAAATGGTTAATACCTCATTTAATGTTGAGTCCTTCCACGTCTACAAATTGTTTGGGGTCCCCAAACCTTGTTATACACAATTATTTAACAATGAGTGAATAAGCTGACCCTGGGGAAAAACAAAGTTTATAGATGTAATTATCGTTATTATAATTTGAATAATACTTTTTGAAAAAATACTTTAATTGAATTGATATCTCATAGGAAGTAAATAATAACTTTTTTTAAATGGTATTTTTATAGAAATAAGAGTATTACTATTATATTAGCTCTTCACATCTATAATCACATCATTTGAAAGTCATATGATCATGTAAGAACGATGATCCATATGAATATATCTATGGTGCAAAAATTTTAAGTTGTCTTGTTACTATCATTTATGGATTTCAAATTTCTCATATGAATTTAATATTGTTCACCTGTGATTGTCATGCAGCTGGGTGACCATGTTGCACTTCCCCATCATGTACACGTCCTACTTTAACGGGCACCATTTTACATCTGACGTCGCAGCTTGGTTCACCATAGGTTACATGGCTATCGCTGCGGATTATAGTATTTGGCTGTGTTACTGTTTAAATTTTTAAAAAAATTTAGAAATAGTCATTTAACAAATGATTTTATTTACCATGTAGGTGTGGAATTACAGACGACCGGTGTATCCCTCGATTGTGGAGGTGCGATGGAGAAAAAGATTGCAGGGATGGATCTGATGAACCCTCTGATTGTCGTAGGTTTTTTTTTAAAATTTTGCCTGAACAGTGTGCAATAAATACTTTAAAAATAATTTTTGATCTAAAACGAAGTAAAGCTATATGGATCATGAAACCAAGCTAAGTCATTCCTTTTCATCAAACCACATAAGAAATCCTCATTGCTAAATGAAATAACAAGAATTTTCTCCCTTCCTTCGCCCTCAAGCTGTGACCCACTGCGCCCCGGGCCAGTTCCAGTGCAAGAATAAGAACTGCACCTTTTCCTTCCGCGTCTGCGACATGACCGACGACTGTGGAGATGGAAGCGATGAGGAGGGATGCCACAAACACAGCTGTGAATCGTGGCAGATGAAGTGCGACAACGGGAAATGCGTTCCCAAGGCCTGGGTGTGTGACTCCGAGGACGACTGTGGCGACAAGACGGACGAGAGAAGTTGCAGTAAGATTTATTTTAGTTTTCATCGAGATCTCGCCACCATTACCATTGAACAGATATGTCACATCATCCCAATGCTTAAACGAGGCCTGGGATCTTCTGCAATTAGATTTTCAATTTACAAGCCTAAATTTGGGCCACTGAAATTATTAAATTTTTTACATTAATAAAATTAAGTTCTGAATGATTCTCTAAAATGTTCACTCTAAATTTTGGTTTATGCTTAATTCACACAATCAAATTTTTGTCAAATTTCTGTTTGAACCCACTATTTTGAATTACCAAATAGTGCGTTCAAAAAGAAATTTTATGAAAATTTGATCCTGTGAAATGAGCATTTGAGACAAAACAGTATTAAAAAAAATATTGTGATTGAAGTACATTAATGTCATCAAAGTTTGGTTTTAGAATGAAATGGGTGACAGTCATCCATCATCATAAAATATCCCATCTGATGGCACATGATCATGCTCTCTGACCCCAGCCAACACCACCTGCAAGCCCAGCCAGTTCAGGTGTGACAACGGCAACTGCATCCAGGCCAACTGGAAGTGTGACTTTGACAATGACTGCGGGGATAACTCGGATGAGAAACCAGAGTATCACTGCGGTAAGAGAAAGATAAATTAGTCCATTGCAGATGCAATTAAAATGTAGTACAGCATTTTTTTAAAATCATTTTTTCCTCCCTATATTTTAACCTAATCAGGTAAGTTTAGTTGAATGATCCATCTGCCAACAGAATGGTTTGACTTGACATCTCAGACTTGAAAGTCTTTATCTTCTCTATAAGAAAAACTAGTTTAATCTTGTTTCTTATGTGTTAGATACCTGCCTTTGTGGAACCTACTACCCCATGCGGTACCTACTACCCTATATGGTACCTACTATTTTATGTGGTACATATTACCTCATGTGGTACCTATTACCCTGTGTGGTACCTACTACTCTTTGTGTTGCCTATTATGTCAAAGTAAATAACCAAGTATCTCTAACCAGAGACATAAGCACAGGGGCACCACAAGGCTGCGTTCTCTCTCCTGTACTGTATACAATATATACAAATGATACTCAAAGCTCAAGCGACACCGTTCCAATCTTAAAATTTGCTGATGATATCACCATTGTTGGTTTAATATCTGAAGGAGAAGGCCTATACCGCAACTTAGTTACGAGCTTTATCAATTGGTGCGATGAAAATTTTCTCTAGTTGAATGTCTCAAAAACTAAAGAAATGGTTGTTGATTTCAGGAGGGGGAAACACCAGATTACAGATCTCAACATAAAAAATCAAAATGTGGAGAAAGTGGAGGCATACAAGTACTTAGGTGTCACCATTAATTATAAGCTACATGGCATGAGCACGGCCAAATGCTGTATAAGAAAGTCAACCAAAGACTGTTCTACCTCAAAAAAGCTGTACAATTTCGGCGTAAACAAGCAAGTCGTTAACTTATTCTACAGTGCAACAATTGGAAGTCTCCTTAATTTCAGTATTACCTGCTGGTGTGGGAATTCAACGTCTGATATTAAACACCGCATAAACCGACTAATCAAGAAAGCTAGGAACATAACACCAACTAAACATCCTTTACTTGAAGAACTATTTGAAGAAAGATGTTTTTGCAAAACTAAACACATTTTGGATGATACATCCCACCCTCTTCATCACAGATACTTAGGATCGGGCCGTTCGGGACGAATTCTTTCCATCAGGGCGAGGACTGACAGATATACAAATTCTTTTGTTCCCCAATCTGTACGAATTTACCGGCATGCTTCCTCTTAAGTCACACATCTGAATGAGAAATAATAAGTCCCCGATTTTGCTAAGAGAACTCACTGAATGGCTGTTCGAAATAATTTATTATAAATGTCTTGTGTTCAAATTGTTTTATCTTTTAGCTGAAAATGTACAATGCAATCAAAAAACATTTCCATTTATTTGGATCAATAAAAGAATCTTATCTTATCTTAAGATACTTAAAACATTGGTAGGTAAAACTTCAGGCCTTGACTCTCATTTAAAGTCTGCACATTCCAGTGACTACTTGGACGTATTGCTAAGGCCAGATTGCGACCAGATGCGAAAATATATCGTGGATATTTAAAAACTTGGTAAGACAGCGGATTCCTCGTTGGAAATATCTACGAACAATGAAATTGAACATCTTGGATCTGAGCATGACGAACTTGAAGACACACTGCCGCTTAAGAGACAATTAGAAATTGAGATACAAAAGAATCGTCAGGCTCAGTATAATACGTCCAGACCAACGGTTGGAGACATTGATACTTTGGTAAAAATAGAAATGGCTTTATTTGAGAATGGCGGTTCAAGAGGAAAATATCTAGAAATTGCTTATGATAGCCTAAGGTCTATTCCTCCGACCAATGTGGAGTCAGAGCGTGTGCTCTCTTCATCAGGTTACTTTTGTAACCATTTGCAAAGTTAAGTGACCAAACTTTATACTTTGTCATTGTTACGATTTCATTATTTAAATTTGACCAAAGATTAAAACAACACCAAATATTCTAATATTTGATTAATAAAACTATTTAAATTAAAAGTTAAGAATATTATTTTTGTTCGTTTGATTTAAGTCTGAAAATAAACGCGTGTTTATTAAAAATGAAAATGTGATATTTTTTAAAATGTTTTTATTTTATTGATAAATCCTCACCTGTAATCTCGGATCACGACTAAAAATTCTCTAAATATCGAAAATATCGAAAATACCGGGATTTGTAAACTTCAAAATCGAAAAAATCGGTTTTGGCAAAAGGGACCGGTTTTGCGACCCCTAGTTCAGACCACACTATCACAGTCTGTCACTGGTCAAAATAAAGTGACAGGTCAAGTTTTAGTGGTTCAAACTCGAAGTCAGATCAGCATAAAACAAAATGTATTTCAATAAGAATTAATTAACAAATAATGACAGCATTTAACAAAACCTACCAATTAACTTGAGGTTGTTGCTTTTAGAAAAAGCTGTTAAAAAAAAAAAATGAGAATCAATTTCCATTCGGCCCCTTCCCGCTAATATATGTTTGTCTGATAAGTGCCGCAAACTGTACATGGCTGAAAGAAAAATGAGTCTAGGAAACATACGGGGACATTAAAAATCGCATTCGCCGTGTTTGGAACTAAAAGCCCTTCGGCAAGTTCAGTTGTGCGTAGAAAAAAAGCACTTTGAGAGAACACAGTGCTACAGATACGTGAGAAAGCTAGGAACTTGCTGTGGTATTCTCTGGCATTGGATGAGTCTACTGATCTCGCACAACATCTCGTGTTTATTTGTGTTGTCAATTGTGTTGTTCAGAATTCAGATAACGGAAGAGTTTGCACCCGTATGCAGCATGCATAGAACAAATTATTTCTGTGAGACAACGTTTTCAAAAATAAAGTATGTGAAATCAAAACATCGAACGAGAGCGATTGATGAACATTTGAACAAAAAAAAAATTCATTGGATGAAGCAATTCCTAACCAAACAATGATGATATCTTGAAAGCCAATCATCAGTGTCACAAATCTCACTAACCATTTTTGCTGTTTAGCTTGTGAGATTCGAATATGTGCGCACTAGGTCTATAACTAGTCTATATTTTTGCTAATGTCGCCTTCTTTGATAACTTTTTAATAAATAAATATGTTGGTTGTCTTTGCTTTTTTTGTATTGCACGCCCCTCACCCATGATTAACATGGAATACTAAACTTAGTTGTATGTCTTTTTTCCCCGGAGCTTCCGTTCTGGCTTGCAAGGATTGCACAGAATAATTATGCGGCCCGCGCTTGTTATTTATTTTGTCCGTAATCGGACCCGCCGTGACAAAAGTTTGGTGACCCCTGCCCTAGAGTATTGGTCGATGGTCACTACAAATCTCAGGGAGCACTTCGAACCTCACTTTTCCTTCTACTTCTGCTGAAACTAGTGTGAGGTCCGGTCGAGACAGGGTTGCCAACCGTCCGTAAATTTACGGACAGTCCGTAAAGATTTGTCGTAAAATTGCCTGTCCGTAAAATTCCGTTAAAAAATTAAGACGTCCGTAAAAAAAAATCGACCAAACGTGGAATCTTAACGTGGTTAAAAAAAAACCCCAGTAAATCATGTTTGTGATTTCTAGTTTCTTGATTTAAATTTTAATTTTTAAATTGTTTTAGTGGCATCCGGCGCTCTATTAATAAACTGTAAGACTTAGTAAGAGCTTTCTGGACAGCTAGGCTCGCGCGGCGAGACGCATCGCGGCAAGCTGGACTTTTTTATAGTATAGACAGATCGTTAGTCGTTACGTCACAATTACGCATTAAATTATGACGACATAAATATAAAAATAGTATCTGGTTTTTTTTAAAAATGGCGTAGAATATGAATATAAGCGAAGACGATAGACGCAGTGAAAACTGTGAAATTAACGAAAATGCGGATAAAATTATTGTTAAAAAAGCTAAAGTGAACAGAAAATGCTATTTTCAACCTACATGGATTGCAAACGGCGAATTTAAGGACTGGATATCAACGGACAATGATTCCAAATATAACGCTGCATGTAGCCTACGTGCTGTAGAAAGATATTTAGCCTTGCATCTGGTGGTGTACGAGACGTTCGCAGTCACGGTAGAAGCGCAAGACATATTCAACAAGGAAATTTGCTGGAGGAATGTTGCAGTTCTTGACTAAGGATAAAACCCATCTCCTGTAACTGCTCAAAACAAACATGTAACAGAATGGGAATTAAAAGTGGCAAATTTTGTTGCAAGAAAAAACTTGAGGTTTTTGGACGACATCTCGGAAAATGTTGCAGATTGGTTTCCTGATTCAAAAATCGCTAAAGATTTCAGCTTTAAATGAACAAAGGGATCTATGATGATTAAAAATGTTATTTGCAAACTGAACAAAGAAGATTTGTCCACTAAGTTGAGATCATGTCATTTTACTCTGTTGGTTGACGAATCGACTGATATATCAACCACAGAAAAAATGGCCATGGTGGTGATTAGCTTCGATATTGAAATTGTTAAGGTTCAATATAGATTTTATCGTTTAGTTGATTTAATAGAAACAAAAGCAGAGTTCAATTTTTGCTGCAATCAAGGCATGTCTGGACGAAGATAAAATACCACTGGCCAATGTAATGGCACTTGGAACTGATGGAGCTAACGTAATGATTGGAGCCAAAAAGTCTGTGCTTTCACGTTTCAGAAGTGTACATATACACTGCACATGCCATGGAGCTGCTCTATGTGCCGCTGATGCATGTAAAACATTTCCCAAATTGATTGAACAGCTATGCAGAGGCATTCACAGCCATTTTTCACATAGTTGCAAAAGATTACAGCTGTACAAAGAGTTTCAAGAGTTCGTGGAAGCAGACACTCTACGAATATTGCAGCTGTGTTCCACGAGACGGTTGAGCCTGTTGGAGGGTATTAATCGTATTGTTAACCAATATGATGCACTTTCAAGCTATTTTCAATCAAGTGATGAGTGTGACCGGTTGGTTACAGTGGATAGAATTAGCACTCAATTGCAAAATCCTGTCGTTAAATGTTATTATTATTTATTTTTTTTGCAAGCAGTGCTGCCTATGTTTACTCAGTTCAACAAAATGTTTCAATCAAATTCTCCGATTTTACCAGATTTATATGCATTGGTTATTAAACTAAACTACAGCTGCAAAAAGTAGATGATCCATCAACTGTTGAAGAGTTTTATGTTGATGTACTTGCATTTTATACCAATGCAGTTGGTGCAATCCAGAAAAGAATGCCTATTAGCAACAGAGTGCTGAATCTCATGTCAGTACTAAAACTTACTAACAGAATATGGGTGGAACAGTCGGAAATTTTGGAACTGGCCCAGCTTTTCCCCCAAATTGTGTCTCCAGCAGATTTTGATTGTTTAGAGGCCGAGTTTATTGACGACCAAGATGCGGATTTAAGAAATGTCAAGGCCGACGGAGGTTATGATGTTTTCTGGCATCAAATTGGACAAATGACCAGGGTTGCCAACCGTCCGTAAATTTACGGACAGTCTGTAAAGATTTGTCGTAAAATTGCCTGTCCGTAAAATTCCGTTAAAAAATTAAGACGTCCGTAAAAATAATTGACAAAACGTACAAAACGTGGAATCTCAACGTTTAGAGAACCCAGTAAATCATGTTTGTGATCTCTAGTTTCTTGATTTAAAATTAAATTTTAAATTTGTTTTTAGTGGCATCCCGCGCTCTATTAATAAACTGTAAGAGCTTTCTGGACAGCTAGGCTCGCGCGGCGAGACGCATCGCGGCGAGACGCATCGCGGCGAGATGGACTTGTTGAGACAGATGAGAGTTCTTATATTTGTCAGTAAATGTTATTTTATTGAGGTGGCAACCCTGCAAATGACTAGAAATATCGAAAACAAAGAGTACAGATTTCCGCTACTTTCGAAGTTTGCACAAACAATGTTGGCGCTCCCACATGGACCAGAAGAAGTAGAACGCGTTTTTTCTGCTGTTAGTTTATTGAAAACCAACTTGAGAAACAAATCGTCTACTCCAATGTTGGAAAGTTTACTGACTGTAAGAAATGGACCGGGAGAAATTACTCCCACAATGATCGACAGTGTAAATGTTTCAATGTATGATCATAAGCAGGAGGGATTAAACACTGTCACTGACAGGGGTGGACTGGGGAGTTCAAGCGGCCCGGGAAAATAACAAAAAGTGGCCCTGTCTTCATGACTTTTATTTGTATTATATCACCGGTCCTGGCGGCCCATCGGGAATCTTCCCGGTGTCCCGGCCGCCCAGCCCACCCCTGGTCACTGATGATGAATGTCATACAATAAACTAACGTTATAAAATATGAGCATGGTAATAGAGACGTACTCATATGGATACTTTACATGTTTTAGCTACAATGCTCGGATTATGCTTCATATTCGTTCGTTTTAAGGTCAACATTTTATGTTAAATGTGTCCGTAAAAAATTGTTTTGTTCGTAAATTTTGTTGAGAGTTCTTATATTTGTCAGTAAATGTTATTTTATTGAGTTGGCAACCCTGGGTCGAGACATGGCACTATTGCCTGCATGTAGCAGGGTTGTGACTCTATCCTGCAGCCTTATGAGGTTGGTAGTGAGTGCCACCTCCTCTAAATGTCGCCCTGAGACGTTCTTTTTGAGATAACCATCTTCCCTTTAGCATACAGTTTATGGGCGTTGAAATACCCTGCTGTAAGAGTTAGTTTGAGACTGACTGTGTTATACAAGGGTAGACCACGTGTTCCTAGGTGTGTTATAAATATTTGAAATGATACAAATCTTGTCAGCTAATCTTACTCTAAGGGCCAGAGCAGGAACGGCCCAACGGTTGCTGACGCCCTGTGCAAGCTTAACGTTGGCGCCCCTTATAAGTATAATAATTAAAGGAAAAAAACGACTTATTCAGTAATGAGTTTACTGCCTATGTTTGTTTGTTTAAAAAAACACAAAAACATAGGTAAAAAACTCATTAGCGAAAAACTATTTTTGTTTCCTTTAAGGATTCTACTTATCAGGGGCGCCAACGTTAGGCTTTAGGTAAACTTTCGCCCTGTGTGAAGCACCCTTTGGCGCCCCTTCCCTGTATGGCTCCGCTCTTTTTCTGATTACGGCGTAATTTTTCTGCTTTGCTGCTTTTGCGCCCTGAAAAGCTTTTTGTTCCCCATATTCTTACTGCTGATATAATTGTAAGAGGCACATGAAATAAGGTTTTAATAAATTAATTTCCACGCACTTTCTGTTGGTCCCAACCCCAGTGTTACAAGGTAATTATGACTTAATACGGAGATTAAACTAGACAGTAATACCATTTATTGTACTCTACAAGGTAATTATGACTTAATAGGGAGATTAAACTAGACAGTAATACCAGTTATTCATAAATCTTGACAGAAATATCCCAACGAATCTTTAAAAAAGACAGTGTTGCAGCGATACTCCTGTCATTACAGCGTAGCAGCGATACTCCTATCATTCAGCTGCTCATAAACAAAGAAAATTTTTTTGTTACATTTGTATATTTTTATTAGACCGACTACAAACAAAGCAAAAATTAATTAAAGGATGGCTAAACAAATGGAGACTTTTTACAACAGAAACATCAAGAAGTTCATTTTTGTGTGTTTGAAGGAAAATTGTGGATTTTGACAGTTAGAGTGCAGCAGCATGAAATCAATGAGGACATTAGATACGGAAAGCTACAAATTTCAAACAGTACTTATAAATAAATGAAGTTTTTTTGGGTAAGATTAAAGTATTTAAAGACAACAACAACAAAATTGAAGTGTTTGAATAAAACCTACTTTTTGACACAGCCTTTTGAAATACAAGAAATTGCTCAAATCATTGGGCGTCATTCTAGATTATTCCACAATTAAAACATGCCTGCCAAGGCTTGTGTATGGCATCTTTTTGTCACTGTTGTCGTGCTTGAGCTCACTCTATAAGACCCCCATCTCACTGTCGTGCTTGAGCTCACTCTATAAGACCCCCATCTCACTGTTGTGCTTGAGCTCACTCTATAAGACCCCCATCTCACTGTTGTGCTTGAGCTCACTCTATAAGACCCCCATCTCACTGTTGTGCTTGAGCTCACTCTATAAGACCCCCATCTCACTGTTGTGCTTGAGCTCACTCTATAAGACCCCCATCTCACTGTTGTGCTTGAGCTCACTCTATAAGACCCCCATCTNTTTTTAAAAAACCCCCCCCCCCCCCCCCCCGCTCTCCTTTTGAAAGCCAAAAAAAACAAAGTCATCGTAGATGTCTTAAGCAATGTTTAGGGACAACTGAAATGAACACACACAAACAAAGAGACATTCTATTGAAAATTTAACACAACTACTACTTTCTAATACTAGAAACAACAAGAATGCAAGGACCATAAGATGTACAAAATTTAAAAAAAGGAACTTCAACAAACTGCTCTGGGATCCTTAAGGTCCAGTGCATCAGCCTCTAGTGCAAAACTCATCAGAATTCCTTTGTTAAAAAAGAAGTAGATGTCACAATATGTGTCATGATTTTTACGTTGCTAACTTAATTTAGTTTTGAAAAATATTTATCTGCTTTGGTATACAATATCCGCCAAATCTACCCCTTTTTGCAACCCTGACCAAAAATTTTTTAAGATAGTTTTTAAATTGTTATTTTTAAATATTTTAATGTTTTTTAATGTATTTTTACTTAATAATAATAATACTTATAAATATACCAAAATAAAAGCAGATATATTTTATGTTTAGCCCATTTAAATTTATTCAATTTCCGTAAAATAATTTAAAAAATCACTTAAACCTTTAAATGGCTTTTAGGAGTCTGAACGTATTTAAATTGATTTGTTTTTTTTATTCTTTATATGGAGACCCTAGCTCATTCTTATAAATGTACTTAAGCCATCATTTTCAGATAATCCAATTATAGCATGTAAACTGATATGGAGATTACAACATAAAATTAGTAAAAAGATCAACACTACATAAATGTCTGGTCCTTACCAACTGTAGTGGAAAAGGAAAACCTTTAGGCCGAGGTTATGCCATGGCTTAAACAAATCTAACGAGACAAAAGTAGTTTTATTAAGCTTTAAGAAATGCGTTACAAGGAATCAGAAGTAGAATATCTTGGCATTGCAAGAATCAATCATTTGCCATTGCAAGAATCAATCATTTGCCATTGCAAGAATCAATCATTTGCCATTGCAAGAACCAATCATTTGCCATTGCAAGAACCAATCATTTGCCATTGCAAGAACCAACCATTTGCCATTGCAAGAACCAATCATTTGCCATTGCAAGAACCAATCATTTGCCATTGCAAGAACCAATCATTTGCCATTGCAAGAACCAATCATTTGCCATTGCAAGAACCAACCATTTGCCATTGCTAGAACCAATCATTTGCCATTGCAAGAACCAATCATGTTAATATTTTCCTCAAATGTGTCACCGGTTACAATACTTTTTGTAATGAATCTTAAATATGCTTTAATAATAACTTTCAGCCATGAGGGTGAATTCAGAGCAGTCACATGAATGTCAGTGTTTAGGTTTATGATTTATATATGTATATTGTGGGATAAAAAATCAGTAAATATAACATAATCATGCACATCTGACGACAAACTTCACTTTAGTTTCATCTTCACTGGTCCATTCTCTTCTCCTGCCAAACCAATCTGACTACAAACTTCACTATAATTTCATCTTCACTAGTGAAGTCTCTTCTTCTGCCAAACCAATCTGACTGAGAAATTGTTGCTATCTCTTTCCAACACCAACAACTCTTGAATGATTTGTTAGGGTAACACCTTGATAGTTTTTGTTAGTAACTCAACCCATACAATTGAATGCATCCGAAAAAATAGATCTTGGATTCTGCTTGCATAATGTTCTCACACTTGCATTCATACTTAAACAAATTTAGATTCCTTGAGTGTTGCTGGAGGGATTCAGAAATGTAAGGACCTATTGACAGTGTCATCTAATTATCAGGTCATTTTTTTTTTTGATGAATTTTAAACAAATAGTTGTGAGAAAATCAGTACCGGTAGCTAAATTTAAAAAATGATTTCTTTACAAAATGTCTATTGACTATGACAAGAGGGGTGTCCAAAAATTGAAGAACAAAATTCATACAGTGCAATAACAGAATACAAAAATATTTTTAAAATATTTGTTAGGAGACACTAATGCTTTCAACCAAGAAACAAAAATTACTCCTTTCGACTTCTCCTTCTTCCTCTTATCTTCAGCTTATCATCTACACCCATCTCATCGAACAGAACACCCATGTCTGGAATATTTCCGTTTCCTGTAGACTGGGAGGATGGGGCTACAGCAAATAAGGCCTCTGATTTAGAGCTTTCAGGCCACTTGAAAACTTTCCCACTAAATCCTTGCACACCAGCAGCACATGAGGTCTGGTTGGGTGGGATGGGGTCAAAACCTGGGGACCTCATCAACTTCAAACCGGGGCCGAATGAATCTTCAGTTTTGAACTGAGGGCCGGGAGCGAACCTGGCCTTGAACTGGAAGCCCGGTGATGCTAGGCTCATCTCCCTGAAATTGGGCTCAACTCTCTTTTGGTGTTCTTCAACAACAAATGACCTGACCAGCTGGTCATATTCTGACATCTCTGCATCATGTGTTGGCGGAGGGCCTGCAGGTGCTGGTGCTTTGACTTGAAGACTTAAAGCTGGTTCATTGTTGCACATTGGAGAAAACCCAGGTGTCTGACCTGCCATAAAATAAGATAGAAATAAGGAAAGCGTTACAAGACACAGAAACAACTCTTGTATAGAAATGTCTTTTTGCTTCTACTTCCATGAACATAACTGCATTTAATTTAAGTTTTATTCACCTTTTCTAATAATTTAATTTTTAATCTGATATATTAAATAGATTTCCTCTAAATTCACAGGAAAAAAGAGCCCCCACTAAAATTGCCACCTTTTAGAATGTTATAAAAGAGAATGTTTGGCATTAAAAAAAATTGAAATACTATGACTTAGAGATGTTGTTCCAATGTTGTTGGAAATACTTCTTTCTCCGGAGGAAACAATTTTCATAGTTTTTTTTCCTATTTTCCCTCAAAGGGACTGGCCATGATAGGGGCTCTAGTTTGAAAAGATGGCAGAATGATTCCGAGAGAGATTTATTAAGATGGCACCAAGTTACACTGTTATGCCGTCAGTTGTTAACAAAGTTACTGTCTCAATGGAAAGGGAACAGTGGTCGACCAGTAACTGTTTTAACCAATGAGAATCACGCACATGTTCTACAGCATGTTCTACGGCATGTTCTACAGCATAGTCTACAGCATGTTCTACAGCATATTCTACATTCATCCCTATGAAATACATCAGCGATTAGTCCATTCACCATTTGTCTAAGGACATAAGTGCATTTTAGTACCTGATACACGTGGGACTATGCTTTGAGAACCAGTTATGCCAGCCAGGATGATGTATTGTGGAGTATTTTTTATAAGATTATCCATATTTATTTAGAAATTATTTAGGACGAGTCAAATTCAATTGGACGGCAATTTCAATCTCCAGGGAACTTGCTTCCTTGGTTTTTATTGGCCAGATGTTATCATCCAGAAACTACTACACAATGCACATGTAGCAGTATGGCGTGCTGTTTCGGCACACAGCATATCAGGCCCCCCTTTCATTGAGGATGAGGGAGGCAATACTCTTATATCAGGCCCCCCTTTCATTGAGGATGAGGGAGGCAATACTCTTATATCAGGCCCCCCTTTCATTGAGGATGAGGGAGGCAATACTCTTATATTAGGCCCCCCTTTCATTGAGGATGAGGGAGGCAATACTCTTATATTAGGCCCCCCTTTCATTGAGGATGAGGGAGGCAATACTCTTATATTAGGCCCCCCTTTCATTGAGGATGAGGGAGGCAATACTCTTATATTAGGCCCCCCTTTCATTGAGGATGAGGGAGGCAATACTCTTACCATCACCAAAGAAATTGACAGGGGCATGGTGATCGAACCATTTATTCATGTTTAGAGAAGGTTCTGTTATGCAAGGAACCTTCACATTATTGAAAGTGGTATCAACAGGATGGGGAAACCAGCCATACCGCTCCAGAATCTATTGCCATGCTACAGCCAAACTTTCCTGGCAGAATCATTTCTTGACTCCCTTCATCTGAATAATCGGGTCCAGTCAGTTATTTCAAACGGCTTGACCTCGAAGAAATCTAATCTCGAATTCGGAGTACCCCAGGGCTCGGTCCTAGGCCCGATGCTTTTCACGATGTACATTCAGCCCCTGGGTGCAGAGATCAGGCAGTTTGACATGTTGTATCACATGTTCGCGGACGATACGCAACTTCATCAATCCGTGATCACTTCTCAGTTCCCTCAGCTGCTCAGTATGACACAGAAGACAATGGAGTCGGTAAAGCACTGGATGACCATTAACAAGCTCAAATTAAATGATGATAAGACTGAGCTGCTCCCCATTGCGACCGCTCAGAAGCAGAAATCTGCAAATAACACGACATCCATTACTCTCTCAGGTGTGCGTATTGAGTTAGCTCAAACAGTGCGGTACCTGGGTGTCTACCTAGATAGAAGACTAACTTTTGAAAGTCATATTAACATGCTATGCAGGGCGATTTTTCTGGAGCTGCGCAGGATTAGTCACATCAGGCCGTTCCTAACAATTGATACAACAAAGAGGCTGATGTCTGCATTTGTGCTATCACGCATGGATTAATGCAATGCTCTCATGGTGGGTGTTCCAGCTACGCTCCTTGATAAAATTCAAATAGCACAGAATAATGTGGCTTGCATAGTTCTCCGCAAACGCAAATTCGACCATGCAAAAACACTTCTGAGAGAGTTGCAGTGGCTGCCGGTGCGTGCTCTCATAGAGTACAAAATCGCAACTTTGTGCTACCGCTGCTTACATGACCTGGCGCCGTCCTATCTGAAAGAGCTGCTGACGCCTTATGTACCCCTTATGAACCCTTGCTTCACTACCCACTAAAAGTTGTCAGACTTAGAACCCTTGCTTTCCTACCCACTAAAAGTTGTCAGACTTAGAACCCTTGCTTCACTACCCACTAAACGTTGTCAGGCTTAGAACCCTTGCTTTCCTACCCACTAAACGTTGTCAAGCTTAGAACCCTTGCTTCACTACCCACTAAAAGTTGACAGACTTAGAACCCTTGCTTCACTACCCACTAAAAGTTGTCAGGCTTAGAACCCTTGCTTCACTACCCACTAAAAGTTGTCAGACTTAGAACCCTTGCTTTCCTACCCACTAAAAGTTGTCAGACTTAGAACCCTTGCTTCACTACCCACTAAACGTTGTCAGGCTTAGAACCCTTGCTTTCCTACCCACTAAACGTTGTCAAGCTTAGAACCCTTGCTTCACTACCCACTAAAAGTTGACAGACTTAGAACCCTTGCTTCACTACCCACTAAAAGTTGTCAGGCTTAGAACCCTTGCTTCACTACCCACTAAAGGTTTACAGGCTTAGAACTCTTGAATCACTACCCACTAAAAGTTGCCAGACTTAGAACCCTTGCTTCACTACCCACTAAAAGTTGTCAGGCTTAGAACCCTTGCCTCACTACCCACTAAAGGTTTACAGGCTTAGAACCCTTGAATCACTACCCACTAAAAGTTGTCAGGCTTAAAACTCTTGCTTCACTAACCACTAACCACTAAAAGTTTACAGGCTTAGAACCCTTGAATCACCACCCACTAAAAGTTGTCAGGCTTAAAACTCTTGCTTCACTAACCACTAAAAGTTTACAGGCTTAGAACCCTTGAATCACCACCCACTAAAAGTTGTCAGGCTTAAAACTCTTGCTTCACTAACCACTAAAAGTTTACAGGCTTAGAACCCTTGAATCACTACCCACTAAAAGTTGTCAGGCTTAAAACTCTTGCTTCACTAACCACTAAAAGTTTACAGGCTTAGAACCCTTGAATCACCACCCACTAAAAGTTGTCAGGCTTAAAACTCTTGCTTCACTAACCACTAAAAGTTTACAGGCTTAGAACCCTTGAATCACTACCCACTAAAAGTTGTCAGGCTTAAAACTCTTGCTTCACTAACCACTAAAAGTTTACAGGCTTAGAACCCTTGAATCACTACCCACTAAAAGTTTACAGGCTTAGAACCCTTGAATCACTATCCACCAATTAAAAATCTGTATTTTATATTTGAACCATGGAATGAACTTCTCTAATACTTAATCTTTAATTTTGACTCGGCCGTTTATTGGTACTTAATTTGGTGTTTTTTTTTGTGTGTGCACTTTTTTCTTTACCATTTATGCCAAAAATCTGGCTAAATGTAGATAATGGTGAAAGTGTGTGCTCACCATTTTTAAGCTTAAAGGTGGCTCCAAATCTCTGCACAGGGTTGCCATCATCAGATGTGCTGCGTGGCAATGGGATGTGGGGCTGGCTGAAACCTTTACATTTCTTAATGTCCACATCTTCACATGAGTTGTCCCGCTAACAAACATGAAAAAAATAGTACCAGTTTAACAATTCTGTACGTTACTAAAAACATAAGACATATGAATTGTTCTCAGATAAAAAATCCTTCAATAAGTAATTATTTGACATTAATTCTTCTAAAAACATTTAAATAGGTCATGGAAAGTACATTTCACATCAAAATTCAACTAAATTGTGAATGACTAGATGAAACAGTTAACAATAATATTCTTACATTGATTTTAACTTTAAAAAAACAAATATTTATTTATGTTATTTTTACATTTATGAATAAATAGTTAAGAAAACATAATATTATGTCAATGGTTTATTGGGGAGAGAAATAATTTAATTATTCATACTATTCACTTTAGAAGATTTAGTTTAATGCAGTCACAATGATTTGCTAAAAGTAGATCATTCCATTAGTCATATAGAGGTTTTTGGTAGGTAATATTAAATAAACCATTCCTTCTCTAATCTAAATTTCATCATCTATAATGATTCATTTTCAGTAAGAATATTTTTTAAGCAAACCTGAAAAAGTTTTGGTTCCCACAGCACATTACTTCTCTGACGTTTCAATTGAGGCTCAGGGTTTAGTTTTTCTGCAGAAGACAAAAAAGGAATTATTTTTCTTATTTATTTCCATTAGTACAATTACCTCATGAACAAAACAAAAAATGCATTTATTTTTGTAGTGAAGAATCAAAAACAAAACAAGAATATATAGATTACAATAGATTTATAAAGCAATTTATAAACTTAAAATTTTACAAAAGTTGCACACTACACCTTAGCTATTTATGATCAACTCGAACTAGAAGTGATCCTTCAGTGAGGTCAGTAAGATAAAAAACTCATTGACGTGACTGCTCCCCCATCTGTTAAACAATCCTATAATATTTGTTACGTGCGCATGTACTCAAGAGGCTGGTTTGATGATACTGAATTGCTGGTTTTAATTTTCAAAATGATGTTAAAATTGACCAATTTATAATTGTAAATTTACATCAGAATTTCCGTATTTTTTCATAATTTATTCTGTGTCAATAAAAGCTTAGAATGTCCTCAGAGAAATGTTTCCAAATGTCCTCAGAGAAATGTTTCCAATTGTCCTCAGAGAAATGTTTCCAAATGTCCTCAGAGAAATGTTTCCAAATGTCCTCAGAGAAATGTTTCCAAATGTCCTCAGAGAAATGTTTCCATTTCTTTGGACCACTAAAGGTATCTGATGGTCTGGACTCTTGGTCATGCTTGACCCTTTCAATGGCGTCATGCTTGACCCTTTCAATGGCGTCATGCTTGACCCTTTCAATGGCGTCATGCTTGACCCTTTCAATGGCGTCATGCTTGACCCTTTCAATGGCGTCATGCTTGACCCTTTCAATGGCATCATGCTTGACCCTTTCAATGGCATCATGCTTGACCCTTTCAATGGCTTTATGCCCTTATGCCACAGTTGTGCTATGGGCCAAATCCTGCTTAAACAACGGATAATTTTCAACGCTACCTAGTGCATTTAACTTTTCTTATTAATTATTTGTAACATAACATTGACGAATTTTTTGGTGTATCTGGTCCTAGATTATACTTCTGAACCATACGATAACTTTTGTTCATTCAGCCCTGAGACTTATTAAGAAAAGTTGGCAATGCAGACTAACATGTATCCTGGCCACCCAAAAATGGGTTGATGTAACAGTAACAGTCAATGACATGAAATTATTTTTTTTAAAAACATAAATGGAATGTATGGAATTCATCAGCTAGCGGTACCAGAATACAAACACTATTGGCCAAGTAATGAGCTGTTAGGTGTTCCTGCATAAACAATGGTGCAACAGATGGCAACTGTATTATTTAGAAAATGAATTTTCTTCAAAATAATTTTTTTTTTTATTTTTTTAATTCAACCATTTCTCTACAATTATCAGTTTCTTTTTTATGACTGGATGAAAGACTGATTTTTAATACATTTTTTTAAAGTTATGAACTCAATCAAAGAAAGGAAGTTAGATCTCTTTGCTTGATATTGAAAGTAATGACCTTATGGATGCTATGTTACCGAGAGGGTTAAACTGACCTTTTAGAAACCGGGCTGTTTTCAGAGCTGACCATCTCATTCCCGAGTCCACTGAAAGCACACCTTCCAACATCTTATCCAAGATTGGTTTCCCTGTTGTAAAATAACTGTCCAGTGGCTCTTGCATGTCAGCAATCTATTTGGATATAAACAAAAAATGACCACTGACTGTCAGAAACTTTACAAAAAGTATAATTAACTTCATCAAGTTTCCTATTTCAGTTTACTATTACTGTTACCAACAATATGTTTCCTTATATATATATATATATATATATATATACACATATGTATATGGCATACTTTCATCTTCTCGAGACGATGGAGTAGTTGTTGACAAGAAAACGTACAGAAATATTATTTTAGACAATTTTATAGTTTACTTAAGTGACAGCGACCAGGGCATAAGACACACTTTAAAAAATCTTTCATTTGCAATGCATTTTAACAACTATTATTTTTAAAGTAAAAAATGTAAGTGTCTATCAGGCATGTGTGCTTCGTATGCTCCATAATGGCAGTGCATTGTGAACCACACAAAGGAGCATGAGCCAACATAGAAATCAACAAATGGGAGATCATTAAAGAGCCCTGTTCGTTGTCTATGGTGGTCAGGTTGTCCAGTGAAATGATATAAACAGGCTCTACCTGTTTCATTGTGCTGTATCTCATGGTCATCATCTTGTCTTGGTTCAGTTTTGGGTACTCTGAACATCCAGTGAAAAATTGTATAGTTGGATGCACTTTCTTCTCAAGGAATAGAGTCACCATACCAGCAGCCCAGACGTCATCCTTTTCACAAAGGCGAGGTGTTGGAGGACATGTGGGCAGCTGTGGCAGAAAACAAACCAATTAGACATGGACTATTATTTTAGTTGTTAATAATTTATAAGGGAAATTTAAAGAGACTACAAGCAGAACATTAAAGAGGGATCTGCATAGAAAAATAGACCTACAGACAGATGTGTTTTTCCCAGGCCATGAGCCAGTCAGTGAATGAATGAATAAATACGACAGCTATAATTTTAAGTGACAGGCTAAAAAAGGGGTCGGGGAACTTTTTTAGCTATTACCCCAAATATAAAACTGTTTATGCCAACATTAGCCCCTCGATTTGAAAAGAATAAAATCAGATATTATTTACATTCAAAATGAGTTTAAGTAGCATGTTTATACATTGAAAACAATTACTGTCAAAGAATCAAACAAATGCAATAATTTTTTTAAACTAATATCCAAGAAATTATTTTGCAAAAGTAAAAACAATAGGCCACCAGGCTAAAATGACATCTACAAGTCAAAAGGTGCAGTTATGCAAACTGCCAAACCACACTATTAAATCACAACATGTTGAGTGCATTTCTCTATTACCCTGGCCAGGTGCAGTGTTGCCAGGACCAAATTTTTTATTGCAACAAGTAAAGGGCTTTTATTTATTTATGTCTATTGAGACCACACTACCCCAAAATATTTCACTTTTCATCCCATGTGGGGTAATTTACCACAGATCATTGACCTCTCAGATAAAATAATACCTACCTTTTTTTCCTGGTATAACTTAACATCAAATAGGAATTTGTTAACTGCAGGTGGCAGGTATTCAGGTGTAAGGCCTGAATATGTCATGCGATCCTTTTGAGATTTGCTGGAGCCAAAGTCAATGATTTTAGTAGTACTTGAGCCATCACTGTTTATTTTCATGCAAATGTTTTCAGCTGTGATAGAAACAAAAGATTACGTTTAAAACATGACAATATTAAACAACACAAGACAACAAAACAAGAGATGTGAGTATTTTATCAAACATGACCTTGACATTTATTAGTGTTTTTTTTCTTCATCTTAAACATGAATAAACTCCCTTTGTAAAGAGTAAAAATGCTTTAAATTTTTAATGTAAAAAAAACCCACATAAAACTGGATGGAGGAATGAGAAGACTTCCCACTTGAACCAAGTTTGGGGTTCCCTCCAGCTGTGATCCAGCATGAAAGTGACTATTACATTTTGGAATCACACATCTCAGAGCTTCCCACCCTCAAATACAACAGATCCTAGATTTTGTAGAATCTTCAGTTATTAGTTTTTGTAGTGCGGCATAAACTGAACTGTTTAGAGCCGAAGACAGGGCCACTCACGTTTAATGTCACAGTGAGTGATGCCATGGCGCTCTAACACACTGAGTCCAGTGAACACATCCAACATGATCTTTTCTGTGGTCTCTGGTTGCTTGAGACTCAGGCAAAAATGAGCATCTGTAATCAGCTGTCGAAGAGATGTGCCTGACCAGAGAAATAAATATACAAATATTGCAATAAAAAGCTGATTTTAAAAATCTCTAAAGAATTTAGCACTAAAAATATGATGTATGCAGAATTCATTTTAAAAAATTGCAAGGGAACTTCTTAAAATAATAGTGTTGAATACAATTGAAAACTCCTTATTCCTGACTAGATTTAAGGTCTTAGAATAAATATGGTGAATTCCATGGTACTTGACGTAACTGTCAGAAAAATATTTTCTAATTCCATCCAGTATTAATGAAATAAGCCATTAAGTGTGCTTAATTTAATTTTACATGCTATTAGTTTTTAATTGGGTAGACTGTAGAAATAGTAAATTTTATAATTGTAACCGATGTAACACGAAAGAGACATAATATTTGAGTTAGTATCTTTTTTGTTGATAGATCCTTTGAAATCTGCCTTAATTGAAATTATTTTTTAAAACAAATATCTAGAGTATTTACTTTTCTAAGGAAAACCTTTATAAACTACTTAGATATCCCATTTCAACAAAAATATAGACAAAATAATGTAAATGACGTAACATGACCTTGTAACTGACGTAACATGTCTGAATGCAAACAATCAAAAATAGAATATGTGTGTCAATCCTTTTACAGACTTACTAATACTTCACTGTAGCAGCTAAATAAACTAAAAAATAGTGTTTTAATGCATGTCCATTATGGGACATTGACCATGACAATGAAAATTGTCTGTCTATATTTATTAGATGTAAAGCTGTAAAGGCCTAAAATTCAACAAGTTTTTTTAGTTAAAATGTGCAGACAACATGTTCTTAATTCAAGATGGCTACCAGGTCATGTATCACACAAAACAAAGATAGTGAAAATGACTCCTAACAAAGGTGCATGAAATAAATTTATATATCACCAAATTTTATGCAATTTAATTGTTGGCTGTTGTGTCCACTTTTACATGGAATGCACCATAAGCAGATATAATTTGCCAGAGTACTTTATGATTTATGGAAAAAGAGGGAGAAAATATAAATATTTGAGAAAAGAATTCTAAATATTTCTAATCTAAATCTCAACAAATCAGACCTCTAGGAACTAAATACTTCCTTTTTTCCTTTAACTTACTTTAATGATTACCCTTGTTTAAAAATATCAAATGAACAATGAATGCCAAAGAAGATTAATATTTATTTATACCTGCGTCTTCTTGGATAATGTAGGAACTTTCACCATCGAAGGAGAAGCCGACGACCCGGGCCAGGTTCATCTCTTGGGGGAACTGTATTGGAACTTCCACTTCATTTGGTTCAACTTTATCCTTCACCTGGTAACACAGGGATAGGATAATTGAAAAAAAATTCATGCAGCACAACAGCCATTTAATAAAGAGGAGCATCCAAAATTCTAAATGGAGGCTATGACAGGGGTTTGGAATGTGTCATGTGGAATGTCACAGATCAAATATTTAAATATCAATTTTGTTTCGGAAAATAATGTATTGTTTTGTTAAGTAGAAAAAACAGGAAGTTAAGGAATTATGGGATGGAAGAAAACCGACAGTGTCGGTTGGAGATATTTAATTAGTACTTGCTACCGTCATTTAGTTATTAAACAGCATCTTAATTATTAATGTTGATTGTAAAATGGAAGAAGTTATTATGAAGAATTATATTTTGCTCTGATCTACAGAGATATTATTTTATTATGTGTACGTTGATCAGTTAATAAACGTGGTGCAAAGTCAAGGAGTTCTCTGGTAATTGTTTAGATAATCATGGACGTATGTAAATGTGGATGAATAGTGTAAGCGGATAACTACAACTCTACAAGTAACATCATAACCCACACATGTATGATCGTTACATGGAATAATTGTACATAATGTAACATCATTCACAGGTTTCCGTATCCTAGTGTAAACAGGTTTTAATTACTCAAAGAAATTGTTGTGGGTTTAGCTGAAACAGCCACTTCTTTTAGCTGAAACAGCCACTTCTTTTAGTTTAAATTCTTTTTATCAAAATAAAGTGCTATGAGCAGACGCATATCAATTAAATTCATATCATTTTATAGCTATGGAACTTTGTCTTGTGGTCTATTTATGGAACTGTTCCACAGTAGCGTAGTGATTTAAGGACCAGGAGCCAAGGATTAACGCTCCCTTCATTCTTGATAGCACTGTTTTATAACTTAATAAAATTTATGAATTTTTTTTTACAAATTATGAAAATTTATATTTTAAAATTATTTTAAAATTTACTTCACTTTTTAAAAACTAAGATATATATACTATCTAACTATTTTTATTGTGTACCGTACCAGATATCTTATCTGCTCATTATAATCACCACTTGCTCCATAATAAAGTTCTTTTTTAAAAATTTCACATATAATTTAGGTTATTTGTTATTCAAAACATCAAGACAACCTATTTATTTTGTGAATATCATTATTTTCCAATCAGACATTTGTGTCATTAGAACGACCGGGTCATATTTTAATTTTATTTGTAGAAATATTATCTGCAGGAAAACAAATTTTCATATTTTCACATTTAGCTTCCCCATAAGATTGATGACAGCTTACTTTCTTCTTCATGAGATGATGTTTAGTCTTCAAGTCATAGACTTTCAGGACTTCTCCAAAAGAACCAGACATTGTTCGGGCATCTTCTGAGATTTTCAGATTCTCCATTCCAGAAAACAACTGTCAAATAAATCATTTTAATCAGATAACTCATTGTTCATAAAGCAGTCAAATATAAATCATTGAATAAATCATTTTAATCAGATAACTCATTGTTCATAAAGCAGTAAAATATAAATCATTGAATAAATCATTTTAATCAGATAACTCATTGTTCATAAAGCAGTAAAATATAAATCATTGAATAAATCATTTTAATCAGATAACTCATTGTTCATAAAGCAGTAAAATATAAATCATTGAATAAATAATTCATTTATCTTTAACAAATTTTCTTTCTTCCATTGACAAATTTCTCAAATGTAAATAAACTGTGATTTTATAATTATCAGAAATGTAATGAAACTAATGTTTACCTCATTGTTTAGATTGAGGCACCTGGGCTCAGTTTGTGTCTTCAAGTTTATGTTGACAAGCAGCTCATGGACCTGTGCCTTGTTGTCAACCTTGTTAATGTCCCTAAAGGAAGAATGATACCTTATAACAGGCCTGCACAACATAATAGGTTTCGCCACTGTCCTATTATCTTTCGGCCCGCACAAGTTTTTCATAAAATTTACGGCCCGCCTTTCATTTTGAGCCATGCAGGCCTGTATAGAATGCTTAATGATAAAACGAAAAGAATCAAAATTTGTCTATACTTTTTTTAAAATTAAAACTTTTCATTAATTTGATTACATGTAACTAAAAAAATTTTTTTTTTTACAAAATATTATATTATTTGATTTGTTTGAACAAAAAAAAATAGATATACTGACAAAATATTTTTTTAAATAGGGGGTGTGTTAATAATAGAGTAAAAGATATTTACATGACTCCGAGAGACTCTAAGTCATGCATAGCAAAGGACTGATCCTCAAAGTGGCGTTTAAAGCCTTGCTTAGGTGGCACTTTAATATTGCATATTTCTTCCTCAGGAAGAAAAACTTTTTTTTTTCGCAGGCTTTTTTTATCAATGACCGTGCCTGAAATCGATTTAAAGAAGAGAAAAATAAAAACCAACTTATTAATGATATTGTATTTCTTCACTTCACAGGTCCTAATAAAAGTGTAGGTCATACAAGTTAACGCTTAACAATAAATTATTTAAAGAGTAAGCTTAAAAGATGGTGATGATAAGACCTCATTCATACTAAAAAAATACATAGGATGTTATAGAGCTCACCTTCATCTTTGTCATCAAATGTCTTATTTGTAAAGTTAATTTTAGCATCAGAAAAGGGCAATGTCTCCTTAGGCACTACAGCTGTGGTACTTTTCTGGTCTAGCCTTGTTGTCTTATTGTCTGACCTGTTTACCACAAAGCCATCATAATCAGAATCAGAACTTTCTTCTGCGAAGCTGTTTGGATTTCTGATGTGCCCTTTAATCCATGGAAAAGTTAAAAAATGATTGAAAACAAAATAAATGTGTACAAGTTTCTTTCAAATGCAAGTTATACTACTTGTTTTTTTGCTGGAGGTTAATTTTTAATACTTTGATAAAAGCAATGTATCTTTTATAATAAACATTTAAAACAGCAGCTTTCAAGTAAGTTAGGGCAAATGATCTTAAAACCAAAACAGCAAATAATACCTGTTTTGAATTACCAAATAAAACAGTTTCCACCAAACACATAACTTACATTTACTTCCACGGTATGGCCCAGTGCTGGTTCCTATGACCATAGCGGATGGTCCATCCTCCCCAGAAGCACATGCTATGTGGCTGTTTTGTCCTTTCACTGTGCCGATATCCACATCATCGTAATGCTCTCTGTATTTGTTATCCATTTGGGAGCTGTAATACATATCTTGAATGAGGACCAAACATTTGGGAGTTGTAATACATATCTTAAATGAGGACCAAACATTTGGGAGCTGTAATACATGTCTTGAATGAGGACCAAACAAAAAAATGTATTTTCTAGAGATTTTCAGCATGGATCAAAACAGAAACTAATGAATTCATTCTTAAAATAGAAATGGTAGAGACCAGTGTTTTCAAAATGAGTTGCAATCCAGCATCGAGATATTCAACCGGCGACCAGGTCACATGACCGCCGTAACGAAGTTGGATGAGATATCTGTCCGTCAGCCCTGCTAATAGTTTATCATAAAACTGGCGGGGAGATGCATGGGGGCGACGAGTATACACTTCATTTCAAGAAATAAGGGGGGGGGGGGAAGCATTGCATACTAGAAGGAAGAAATATGGAGAGGGAGAGAGAAAGAATAAAAATGATAGTCAGGGTGATAAATAATTAAAGCGGGGAGGTCGAAAGTTCACAAAAAAATAGACCCAACATATAGGGCCAATATAGTGTGCTGTTGGGGTAGCAATATTAATAGCCTAAAATAAAACTTTTTTGCCAGTAGATCTACTGACAGTCAACTGTCAAGTATTGGTCTTATTTTCTGTGGTTCATATTTTAAATTTAGGCTACTAGGTAAAGCTTTATAAGATATTTAAACCAAGAAAACTCATTTTTTTTTAAAATTTTGCCGGCGACCTCTTGTCACATGAAATGCCTGCCGGAATAATCACACATACTAATCGTCAGGCGGTCGCGTGACATGCCCGCCGGAAGAATATCTACCGCACTATTTGTCTGGTTGCCAGACGTGTAGACACTGCCTATTTTATAATTATATGAAAATATTTTTTTTATATGCTAATGTTGTCACAATGTTGTTAATGTTTGTTAGGCTAAGTTAATAACAAACTATTACAGACTATTACTATTATTATTTATATAGAGCAGGCCTGCACAACTCAAAATGTAAGGCGGGCCTCTATGAAACTCTATGAAAAATTTGTGCGGGCCAAAAGAAAATAGGACATGACTTGGCGGGCCAAAAGCAAATAGTATAGGACAAGGAGGAAAGCTATTAAGAAAATACTTAATAAGAATAAAGAATATTTTGTTACTTCGCGGGCCGCATGTTGTGCAGGCCTCTTCTTATAGAGTATAGACAGTATAAGTATAGAGTATATATAATTAGTGTCTTAGTCTTAGTATAGTCAATAGTCTGTATAGTCATAGCTTCCCACAATTATAAAATTATCAATTACTAAATTAAATTACATAGCTTACAAGATTATTATTAATTTTAGTTTAATAGTACTAGTACTAGAATTTAATAAAGAATAGAAGAAGATCAAGTACTTTGAGCTATTTAACTAGACTAGTCTACCATCGGCCATCTACTACGACTACTTTCTAAGTACTAAGGACTAAAACAATTCTAAATACTAAATTCTAAGACTCAGTTTCTCACTCACTATCACTAAGTTGCCACTAAGTTATAAGTATCACTAAGTTTACTGGTAAACTTAGTACTTTAAACAACAGTATAACTTAAAAAGTATAAAGCCTGAGGTCCTCTGTACTGTAATTAATAAGAATAGGACTATACTTCATATACTCTCTAGATACGTATTTACTTACTATGGGGGCTAGATGCATAACTTTTATTTACTCCTTTGTATACTTGGTACTAATCAGTTCACTTGGACGACTTGTTTTGATAACTTCCGACTATGATGCAATATCTATAATTGGGCCTACGTCTTTTTTCCGCTTTCTCTAAAGACCAATAGTTTCTGGTGTTGCGAGAAAAAAAAAACAGATATCAAATTATTGTCTGGAGTAAGGATAAAATCCTGACTTTAAAAAAAAAAAAAAAGAGCTTCAGTTGAATTCAAATATATTGTTTTGATAACTTCCGACTATGATGCAATATCTATAATTGGGCCTACGTCTTTTTTCCGCTTTCTCTAAAGACCAATAGTTTTTGGTGTTGCGAAAAAAAAAAAACAGATATCAAATTATTGTCTGGAGTAAGGATAAAATCCTGACTTTAAAAAAAAAAAAAAGAGCTTCAGTTGAATTCAAATATAATATAGCATATGTTAAATCCAGTTTAGTTGATGGGGTTTTTCAACACAGCCCACATGGACAACCATGCTCTTAAAACTTTTGAATCCATCATCATCCCTCCAGAAAAGAAACATCTATTTCTGCTTGACGAATGTTCTCTGCACACTTCAAATCCCCACTACTGACAGTCACTTAGCTTTAAAATTCTTTCTCGAGAATAAACCTCATCCTTCTATATCCACTAACACCCTCCTCCGATTAGCTGAACTTGTTCTCACCCTCAATTCATTTGAGTTTAGCGGCCAATTCTTTGACCACATCTGAGATGTTGGTTTGGGGACTAAAATTTGACCCAGCTACGCATGTTTATTCATGGGACATCTCGAATACAGGGTAGAAATAAACTACACTGGATGCCTCCCTGAAATCTACAAAAGGTACATTGATGATGAAATTGGGGTAAACACTATGGAGAGGAGTGAACATGACATATTCATCAACTTTGTGGGCTCTTTTTCACCCCTCCATTAAATTGACATCTCTTGTCTCTTAGACCTCAGGTAAATGTTTAGACATTACGTTCACCTTTCCCAAAGAGAGACCTATTCACTTCTGCCTACGTCAAACCTACTGACAGCCCCAGCTATTCACTCTGCTCTTCTTTCCCCCTTTGCCAGTCGGATGATGACTTTTGGGACAAGGCATAAGAGATCATCGACTATTTCCAATGCAGCGATTGCAACACTTGCCCTTTCGTCGTCCAGACGCAACACCTTCGCTTCCCTAAGGGCAGTTTTCATTTAAGTGACGATTTCCTTTATACTAGTCACGATGATGTCTACGCCATTGTTTGCATTCGCTGCCAGATGTCATTTATAAGTGAGACGTGACGCTGGTTGCTCTGTGCACCTCTGTAATATGACACAAGAAAAGCAGTAATCCGTCTCTAAGCACTTCAACGGAAGCGACCACAAGGAGCCTGATAGTTTCACAATCAGCGACATCGTGACCTGTACTAACACACCAAACCAGGTGAATTAGGAAAACAAGCTGATCCTCATTGAGACCCCATGGCAAACATGTCACCACGTTCTCATTCACCTGTTCAACATATTCTCCATCCCCTCCTCGCTCTGACCAATCGCAGTAGAGTTACTTTTTCCCTCTTCTCTCTCCTTTTGTCTGTGTGTAAGCTAGAGACCGACCAAAAGTGATTTTCTGATTTCGACCGAAGACGAAAATAGGCCGAAAGTTTAAAAAGGACTTTCAGCCGAAACCGAAAAAAGGTCGAAAGTTAAAAATGACTTTCGGCCGAAACCGAAGCCGAAAACGAAATATTTAGATATTTTGAAATTCGTTACCGCATACATTTTGCAAACATCGAAGATGATGGGAGAAAGTATAAATATTTACATTCTTTTTATAAAAAATGAGATAATCGTGAATTTTAATAAATAAACATCTAATATAACATCTTGTTGTTAAAGATCGTTTAGAGTATTCTTAAAGATCGCTTAGTTTGTTGTTAAAGATCGTTCAGTTTTTTGTTAATGATTGCTTTATTTGTTCTTAAAGATCGGTTAGTTTGTTCATAAAGTTCGCTTAGTTTGTTGTTAAAAATTGTTTATTTTGTTTTTTAAGATCGCTTAGTTTGTTCTCAAAGATCGCTTAGTTTTTGTTTAAAGATCTTTTAGTTTGTTTTTAAATATCATTTAGTTTGTTAAAAAATGAACGCTATGTTTTATCTTAAAGATCGCTAAGTTTGTGTTATTAAAAGATCGTTTAGTTTGTTCATAAAGATGGCTAAGTTTGTTCTTAAAGATCATTGATTTTGTTCTTAAATATCGCTTACTTGTTCTTAAAGATCATTCAGTTTGTTCTTCACGATCATTTAGTTTGTTTGTATAGATCTTTTAGTTTGTTATTAAAAATCGTTTAGTTTGTTCTTGAAGATCGCTTATTTTGTTGTCGAAGATCGCTTAGTTTTTTCATAAAGATCAGTTAGTTTGTTCTTATAGAGTATTGATTTTGTTCCTTAAGATCGATTAGTTTGTTCTTAAAGATCTTTTAGTTTGTTCCTAAAGAACATTTAGTTTTCTGTTATAGATAGCTTAGTTTATTCTTATAAATCATTTAGTTTACTATTAAAGATCATTTGTTTTGTTCTTAGAGATCATTTAGTGTGTTCTTAAAATTCACTTAGTTTGTTCTTTAAGATCGTTTAGTTTTTTTTTTATCAAAGATCGCTTCGATTGTTCTTAAAGATCGCTTAGTTTGTTTTAAAGATCGTTTAGTTTGTTCTTAATTGTCCATAGTTTGTGGTTAAATATCGTTTAGTTTGTTCTTAAAGATCTCTTAATTTGTTCTTAAAGATCTCTTAATTTGTTCTTAAAGATCACATTATTTGTTTTTAAAGATCGTTTAGTTTGTTCTTAAAGATCGCTTAATTTGTTCTTAAAGATCGTTTAGCTTGTTCTTAAATGTCGGTTAGTTTGTTGTTAAATATCGCTTTTGCTGAGAATTAGATGACCGAAAACCTCAGTCACTTTATATATGCGTTTAGGCCACACATTAAAATTATAACTATTTGAATGAAACAATAAGTTAATTTGTGATACTCGTGGCGGGCAACACAATTTATCTTGGCAGGCAGTGGATTGCCCGCCCCTGCATAAGGCCTAGGTCTAAAACGACCGCGAGCTGTAGAGTGTACATCTATAGCCTATAGACAATAAGGGAGGGGAAGTGAAGAAATACAACTCAGGTGCATGTATTTAAATTATACAGCTGCTTCGTGACTTCTACAAATAATTTTCAACTGCCAGTTATTATGCTGCGCGGGGCGTTCAGAATGTATTTTTAAAAAAAAATTAGTCTTAAAAAAGGAGCTCCCATTCCACGCTATTGATAACATTAAAATCATCCGTCCGTCAATGTAGTGCAGCTCCGTCAATGTAGTGCACGTCCGTCAATGTAGCCAAATTTGAATGCCCGAGTTTATTAGACAATGGGACATCCATATAAAATGTACGCAAAAAAAACAACAAAACAACAACATATTTTCATACCCGCACCTACACCGCCCACCTTAATAATGGGCAGTCCATATTATACATGTATTACGTACGCACTAAGGATGCGTATAACAGCGTGGGGGGGGGGGAATCAACAGAATGTAGGCCTATCTACACATAGGCATACGTTTTACAATAAAATTATTCTAGCATTCTTTAATACAGCAAACTGTCATGCACAAATCTGTTAAATCCATGATCTCTCATTAGTTCTGTTAAGGCTATACAAATATCGCAACATTGTTTAGCAGTTATCAGCATACTGATACTTTGTGTTTTCATAAATAGATATAGCTGTAGGGATATTTAACCTAGTGACAATACGCTGTCGGTGCTGGTGACGCATTTATTTCGTTCGGCGACCAACACCCCCCCACCCCAATAAGTTCTTAGTTCTGACGGGTCTTGGTGTATAATAGTAAAAGACATCTCAAAATCGTAAATTGTACGCCAAAATCGTAACAGGCCGCTAGCAGGCCAACCTTATAATTATATACGAAACAGTGATGTACAGGTGTTTTTTTTTCGCCAATAACAATGTCAGCATGACAATGATGAATTTAAATAAATGAATGAATTGAATAAGCCTAAGGTTTATTAATTTTTATTTTAAAAAATTAAAACAAAAATAATAATTAAAAAATTGTGTTCCCATTCCCTAGAATTTTTCCACAATGTTATTCACCTTAATATGTTTACAAAATAAAACAAGAATTATATATTGTAACTTTTTTTACCTAGAAAAAGCATTTTGCAACTGAAAGCAAATGGCTAAAACCATTTTGATTTAATAATACAGACAAAAAGTATTCTATCTTGGTCGTTTTTGTCATTTCTATTACATTTAGCTCAAACTAGTCTAAATAAAGAATGGGGAAACCCGTCACGTGCTAAGGATTTTCCTAAAAAATGTAAAATTCAACTTAGAGCCAAGCTGAAATAGAAGTGGTACCTGGAATCGGTTTCTTTTGGGAGAACTTCAGAGGTGTAAGATGTGGGCTATAGTTGAGTTATGATGTCTATGGACTGGACACTACTGCCTAGAACAAGGGCGTTGCTCCACTCCTAGGCCTTAATATTTTTTTTAATTTAGTGATTTTTTTAATGGGGTGAGATTTTAAATAATTTAAAACCACTTGGCTGCCCTAGCCCAACCGTCATTTTAAGTATTTATTAAAAAAAAACAACAAACAAAAACAAAACAGGAACAATAAAACGGTTATTAACATCACATGCAAGAAACTGACATCACAGGCAAGACTGTTCGCAGATGATACAGCAGTGTATAGGACGATCGCCAACAGATCTGACCAGGACCAGCTACTACAGGATCTCAATCTGTTAGCTGAGTGGGAGATTAGCTGGGACACTATCAGTCTCTAGAAGTTGTACTCCTCTACACTACGTTTATTATTATATTATTGTTCGTCCGTCGAGGATCGACGAGGACCATAGAGTCGTCTGGTGACTGATGAC